TTGGAAAAAACCTTTTGCGTGCATGGGACTAAATTTTAATTAGCGCTAGTTTTCATTTTCACCCATGTGGAAGATTCGTCTTTATTCTCTGAAGTTAACAATCCTTTAGTTTGCACAAAGTTTAGCAAAAACTCTTAAAATTTCTCAACCGCGCACTAATGTACTTCTCGATAACCCCGAAATCAATAATAGTTCTATACAAAATCTCCCATTTTAGGATGGAGTTCTAACGAAAGAGGAAATTTTGGAGAAACATGACATATTTGTTGGCAGCCAAGTGACAGACTTTGGTGAAGCATTAGCTCGTCATGACGAGTTTTAGTCGCGTACATTTGCCTGCTATTGACAGTTTAATATGATTATGATTTTATCAACGCTTTCATTCTTCACTGTCATATAGAGTAGGAATATTAATATATATATTTATATAAAGAAATTATTTTCATATACATGTGTTAACTTTATATTGTCGTGCATTCTCAATTTGTAAAAGTATTTTTTCCAAACATCTTGTTCTTACCGTGTATTCTTCTTGGATCTATTTTCTTTTCGTTCGTGGATGCATGAGCGCTCCAATTCAAAATATAAAACTCGTGTCGGCCGTACAGCCTCCCTCCCAGCGGTTTAGCTACGAACGATAAAACATCGGAGGCAAAAGTTGACTAAAATCCTTGCAGCTGCAATACATGAAGTTAAATTAATGAATGAAATAGAAATTAATAATGCATTTACCGTAAGCACGACTTAGTGAGTTGACAAGGCTTTAATTTATTCTTCTAGAATACAAATTATATATTAAAACTATTTATTGCTTGCAGGAAACTAATATATCTATATTATTTCTTGAATTGGAAGAAAAGTTGGTCCAGTCCTTGGAAGCAGGGGCAAAACTTCTGGGGGGTGTGGGGGTGTGACACCCCCCCATACTCCGATTGGCAGGGCAAGGGACATTCTTGCAGGGCAAAAGGCACGCTGCACGCACATTGGTTAAACTGTTTTAGATTTATGTAATACACCAAAATGAAAAAAATATGAACTAAAAATACGTACGTTTCCCGTTATTTAAATTATTAGCTTATTAGCTCGAATCAAGATAAGTTAGTAGTTGCTGGAAGGTATGTCGATTCTGCAGGTCTCCCACGCGAAAGAGTAATTGAAATGAAAGAATCCGTTGATAAGAGTGGTGCTGGGACAGCAAAGGACATAATTAGATCTTTGAAAGATAATGAAATCGACTTAGATATGCTGTCTTTTCAGACGTATGACTTTACAGCGTCGATGTCTGGTAGATTGAACGGTGCACAAAAAATCTTGCAAGACATGTTGCAACGACCAGTGCCTTATATTCCATGCCAGGGGCACCGATCTAACACTTTCAATGAACACTGCTGCAAACAGAGCGCAATTGTAACATCGATGTATAACCGTATTGGAAGATATATACGTATTTTTTAGCCAAAGCACAAAGAGAAATAAAGTTATTGAGAATTCTACGAAAGAGATTGAAAACGTTTTAAAGTTCCGAAACTTGTCAAAGACCAGATGGGTTTACTGTTCTGAATCAATCGACGCTGTTTGGAAAAGTTACGAGCAAATCCCGAAAGCAATTGATGAAGTTGTCACTGCTGATGGTGTCGAACCGAAAGTTAAAGCAAAGGTAACGGGATCAAGACGAAATTGCTTAGTTTTGACTTTCTCTTTGCTCTCATGTTTATGAGACTTATTATGAAGAAAACAAAAGTTCTCACAAAGCAGTTGCAGGAAGAAGAGCTCAATATTTTGGACGCACTGTTGTTAATCGATTCTACGGTGGAAAACATGAAAAAAATGCGTAGTGAAGATCGTGCAATGGATGCAGAGCTAGACGCGATTGTTGAGTTCGGAAACAAAATGGGCATAGATTCAATTGCACAATACCAACTTCATCATAGACCAAGGAGACCACCAAGAAGAATTGACGACCACCCAGAAGCTTCTGCGCAATTACTATTCAAAGAGTTTTACAGGAAAGAAATGTGTGGGGTGCTCGATTCCTTAATTACCGAGTATATGGACAACATCAAAGTCTGCCTTGACCAGATTAAACCCCTAGCTGATTGCCTGCAACCTCCTGTACAGAAACCAAAAGATGAAACAGTTAAAGCAATGTGCTGTCTTTTTCCTCCTGCTTGTCGAATTGAACCTCATGTGCTTATGTCTGAGCTAGAAATATTCAGTACCACTATCTCGAGAAAACAACCTAGCTCCGTACAAGAAGCAGCCAAATATGCTCACGAGTATATCAGGATCTTCCCAACCGTATGCAAAGCTTATCAGCTGTTGCTTACTGCTCCCTGCCTCCTCCGCAGGCCCTTCGTTGAACACAGTGCAGTGCAATCATATAGATCAGTGGCTGGGATTAGTGTCAGGCAATGCATTATGGGATACGCCTTCCCATTATTCTTCGCGCGCGTTCCTCATTCTTCGCGCGCGCTCTTCATTTTTCGCGCGCCCGAATTGTCTTCCCCTTGGAATGAAAGCGACTGGGGACGAGGCAGTACTGCTCCAGTGTCCGTCGCCAAGGATGAGCGAACTTTCAGCAAACTGAAGATTGTCAAGAACTGCCTTAGGTCAACTATGAAAGACAAGCGTTTGAATGACTTGATCCTACTGGCTTGTGAAAAGGATCTCACAGACAGTATTGATTTGAACGTTGTACTGGACACTTGGGCCAAAGTTAAGATGCGCAAATTTCGAATAAAGCCAATGAAATAAATACTGTTAATATTCAGTTACATACGAGACAGTATTAGCGTTATAAAGCTAAAACGTATTACTAGGGATCGTGTTAACCCACGCCTTTCAAACAAAATCTTAGCTGATATGTTACATCTCTAAATGGACTATACCTACAATGCTGCAGGGCATGATAAAATTTGGCAGGGCAAATTTACCCAACACCCCCCCCAGCAAAAAGGTGGTAGTTTCGCCCCTGCTTGGAAGGTGTTTTTTATTCGCCTTGTAACCCAGGTAGCCCCCAAAATGTTTGCGGTCTTCTGGGCTACCAGAGAATGGAATACCTTTTGCGACACACCTTTTATATCAAATCTTTGAAAAAAGTAAGGATTTGCAACTAACCGTAACTTCTTAAGCAGCAAACGAAGATAGCGTAGCGTGAATCTGACCGGTATAAACGAGCCCTAAGCCCACTGTCACAGTGTCACTGAGTGCCTTCGACGCTTTGTGCAAACGATGCTACGTTTACACGCTACCGCACGAATTTGGGACCGGTCTGTAATTCATTATTTTTCGCCCGTTTACATGGACCATGAAAATCAGACAAATCAGTCTGGTCCTTTTTTTGTCAAGAGTTTACACAGTACCGGACGATTAGACTGAATTTGGTCACTGGGTGTAGGATATACTTCATGTAAAAGTACAATATGACCACCGTTTTCTTATCATACCCAATCCTCTGCTGAACCTCTGCCGCGCTTTATGTACAAAAACAAACCCGGTCTCGGTGTTTACACGGTACCGGACGAGTCAAAATTCACACATCATTTTTATGGGTTTTATGCAGCCTCGTACCCAGGCGCTTTATTGGAAAACATAAAGGCTGCATTCAGCGTAATATACCCCTGCGCGCTCGCACATCTCAGCCACAGATCTCTATATTACGCTGAATGCAGCCTTTATGTTTCCCAATAAAGCGCCTGGGTACGAGGCTGGGTTTTATGGGCGAAAAAAATTATTTGTTCACATGTTTTGAAAAATCAACCAAGATGGCAGAAATTCCAAACCACCTACACCCGTAAAAATCATCATGTTGATGCAAGTTGTTAAAAACAGTAGTGAACGATGTTGTGCTGCACCCTGTGGACAGTATTGTTAACAATGTTGTTTAAGCTTGTTGAATCATCAATGTTGTTGCAACTTGTTGTAACTGTAGCACAACATTTTTCACTCCTGATGTGACAACCTGATCATTTTTTGGCCGTGTATACTGAAACGAAAGGACGAAAACGACGAATTTCAGACTGGTTCTTTCGTTAATACTCCGTTTAAGATAAATTGAAATGAGAAGGGAATTAAGAAGACGTGAGAGAAAGGGGAAGTGAGATATACTGAAGCGAGCGTAACAGTTAAACTTTTAGATTTTATTTGATTATTTGAGACATCAGTGATTAGTGACTAATTCAGGAAACGTATTGCATGATATCCATGCATGCATGCGTTTTCGACTAGTTCCAAATTCGTTCGGTACCGTCTAAACGGGATCCAAATTGCCAGAAGTTAAGCGATTGAGCGAACACCATAATTCATTCTGTTTATTTGCATACCAGAGAGGTAATTATAATGCCATTAGCTGAGCAATCCTTGAGGGCTGACGCTCACAAAAACGAGAAAAAAATTGAAAGTTGATTGCTCTCGGCCGTCTCGGGTGATGACGTCTTTAGGGTGAATTGAATTTACATAATTAATGATTGATCATGTGTGCAATCTACAGACTACACTCACTGAGCTACACTCAGGGTTGCCAGATTCCTGAGTAAATTAGCCAAATGTTATTACCATAATCGTTGTTTTCTTTGTTTGAAACAAAGAAATCAAAGGCCCGACTATACCAATGTTTGGCTTCTTTTTTCAACAATCTGTAGTGTATTTTTCAGTCTGTAGTGGCTATTTATAGTTTCGTTAATCTAGTTTTATAGAGAAAATGGATATATTTCTATTTGCCACTGCAGCTTCCTCACCTACAGATTCTTGTAAGCTTGATTTCACTGTGATAAAGGAAATTTTCTTGACCATACCAAATATCCGCTACATTTTAACAAGCCATTAAAACGTTTTATGACTCTTAATCGTTTGTCAATGCATTTTACAGTATGCATATCTTACAGAATGCACTTTATCAGTAGAAATGCATCTCATTAATTATATTCTTTGGAATTCAGTTTAAAGGATTCGAGGTGTAATTCAGAGCATAAATAAGCTTGTTGCAAGTTTTACTAAGATGGTCTTCCTAAATTAAACGATACATGCTCTTCGGATCCCTGGTTTTACAAGTTACAGACACAGTGGATTGCATCGAGGGTAAGTAACGTTTACACGCTTTCGAAGCGCAGTTAAGTTATCAATAAAAATAAAATCAATTGGTGAGTAATTTCCAATATCCACAAACAGTTCTAGTCCCCAAAGTATTGTAAGGTTCCTAATCTTATAAGCCAAAACGCTGTTTAATTGGATTAATCGTAATTCTGGTCAGATTTATAAAAGATCCTTCAAACCGATCAAAGGCACTTATTTAATAAAAGCTAAGAAAATCTTAATTGCAATTCAGGTTCGCTTGACATTATTACCACAGACAAACAAGGTCAATAATGTTGGATATATAACCGGCCTTTCATGCTTTTGAATGTTTTCGAATGAATAGTAGAGGTCCTGGTATTTGTTCCTATATCCCATCATTTCATGAGTGAATATATATACGAGTAACGAGTATGATTTCATTTATTATCTTAGGTCGGATGCTCTTATAGTTAGTGTAATGTAGACTTGAATAAATTGTAACCTGAAGCTTTTTGTAAATGACCAAGGAAAAGTAAAATATATCTCCTCCACTCTAATAACATGTAGTTGTCAATGCTCCTATGAAAAATTATCTTGGGTGCTTGATAAAAATATAAACGTAATCCACAGCACTTCTTAGCATAAATGAATTTCGGACACGCAGCCGACCCACGCAACCCAGCACCCAATGCTATAACTCATTAAAGAAGTTAAGATACCCCGTTCCCGATGTACGGGTACGGGTAGCCTTATTTTGTTCACTGAATTTCCATCAGTGTTTCTCAATTTTTTCGAAGATTACCTCAACATATCATTTCGAGTAGACTTTAGCCTCTTGAGGCAGGCATGATTTGTATCATGAAACGTGCAAACAACAAGAAATTCCAAGGAACAAACTGATATGGCTACCGTACCCATATACCGAAATCGGGGTATCTTGACCTCTTTATTAGTCTTGGTCCGGCCCTAGCAGGCAAACTAATATGTCATGCACTAACCATCTAGTGGGATTCAATATTGATAAAATTCCATATTTCGTGGATTCTAGTCTTTGACAATGAACTATGATGACACTTGCAATGAAAACCGGCTGTAAAACCCCTTTGTATCGAACTAATACATAATTTATAACTGACAAATAATCATGCTCGACGTCTCGTCTAATTTTGGCAAAACTTTCGTATGTCACTCGTACAAAAAATTCGTACGCTGTCGCACCATAGTAATGATAGTATTATTACCTACACTAATTACAATTTACAAAGTTGATTTACAAAAATTGTCAAACACTCATTAGCCAAGCTGGACGTTTCGTTATAATAGTGACATAATGTCGAACTTATCCTGATTTTCCAAGGTTCTTTGAATATCACTGAATAAAAGCCCCGACGTAGGCGTACCTCGCCTTTCACGATTACTTATACCCATTCGTATCACCGTAGGCAATAATCATGGGGGAAACTACCTGCTATTGTTCAATTGCAGTTTGTATTGAACAAAAGAATCCAGAAATTGAACAGTTATTACAGGATTATCTCAAAGAGATAAGACTTCCTTTCAACATACTGGAATTTGGTAACTCTGGAAATTTCACAACTGAACCGAATGAAGCTTTAAAAATCAGGTCATTGGAAAAAAATCCGGCACAATCGCATGCGATTTGTTTTTTTCTAAAAGAGGATACAGACCTAGAGTTCACACTTAAAAGTCATCTCGAGGGATTACCATGGCAACTTGATCACGTGATTGAAAGTTCCCGGATTGAACGACCTCGGACAATCGCAAGACAAGAGTTTTACAGATGTTCGTATGATATGCCATTGATATCAGTCGGTAGCGTACATTACGGAAACGAACATGTTCGATTTCATATCAATGTGAAAAATTTCCACGAGATGAAAGTATTCTACGAAAGTATTACAGACAGGAAAGCAAAGGATTGTGGGCCGGATTTTTGCTTCCTCACGACATACTCGGAAGACGGTCTAGATGTTCAAATCGGTTTGAAGAAAAATTCAACTGTGTTGCCCTTACGGAGTAGTTTGTTTCGACTGAAATTTAAAGTCCAAAGCATATCTCCGCTGTTCGACTTTTTGGCATCGGCCCAACATTCTTCGAACCAATCAAATTACATTCTTCAAGACCCAGATGGCAATGACGTTATCATTGAAAGGTCTTATTCCAAAGTTAGCAACTTTCATTGCGAGTCACCAAATGAAGTTGATGAAAACAACAATTTTGAATCAAAGATTTTGGAAGAGAGTTCGAATTCAAATTCTAGGCTAAGAAAACATATGTGGAGTAAAAATGAGTATTCTGAACATGGTCTGTTTCCGGAAGAAGCTATGTCTAGTGTTGATGGTTCCCTGAGCAAGAGTGAGGACAGTGAGTCTGAATGCATGGTCATCGTGAATCACGCGTATGAAGAACATATAACTTTTGTATGAAGGCGAAAAGTAGTCCGCATGAGCATGTTCTCATGATGACGTTATGTGCAAAGACAAGTTATTACATAACAGGAGTCGTTGTTATGGTTTATAAACAATACATTGGAAAATGCAAGCTTTCTGAGCGAAAATAAAAGAATAGGTAAAATGATAACTGAGTTTTGTCGATGTTTTGGCTTATTTTGACATACACTTTGGCATTTCTTTCCAGTCTGACAAGCTTGTCGCTAAAATTCAACATCTACTAGACTGGAACATAAGTTAGAGAATAGCTACCTTCACTCGGCCAATCAGCTTCCAGTATTTCCATGCTCTTTAACTGATAGGGGTTGAAAATCATGAAAATTATGAGTGACTTTTTTGAATTTATTAACAACTTTATATTGAGTTACTAATGACGGTTAAAGCATGACCAATTCTGCTCTATGGGATATAGAGTCCCACGAATTAAATAAAATTATGAATTTATGATCTAATTCTTGGGACTCTATATCCTATAGAGCACACGTGATCATGCTCTTAACGCTTTCTATAACATACTGGTGGTTTATAATAATAAGGAACATGATAGCCAATAGAGATTTCATTGTTTAAACTTGTTCATAAATTCATGGCTTTATTCAACTTGGAAAAATTTCACTTTTTTACCTCTCTATAGATCTTACACTATATTCTTACAGATTCCGAGATTCTTGCTGTCTGGTTTTATTATTGCAAACGGTCACTTAGATAATGCCATAATGCATGGTTGGGATAATGGATAAATTAGGAACTGAAGTAGTTGACGTAATGTCAATAATGAGTATGACATTTGCGAGACATCTTTGACCGTTACTGTACTACAAGTCTAAAAGTGCAGCGGAAGATCGTTGAGTTTGGTAACTATTCATATATTCATGCATGTTAGCAGACCGTAAAGACAATCAATCTCAAAAAAACTAATAATGCTGAACGTGAATATATCCCCTCCCACGTAACGATCTTCCGCGGCCCCTGCTGTCGAACATGAAATAAATATAACTTCATATTCGTGCACCTGCATGCTGGGCAGCCGACAGACAATACTATTAAAGATGTATGTGCAACACAGTTTCGGAACACAATTTTTTTCTGAATGGGGCAAAATACACCCCAAACAACGACGTTGCGTGGTATTATTTTGCGACAAATTCTCTATCAGTCAATATTATGATATTCAAAACTTTTATCATAATTAATAAAATTACGGTTATGAGTCTTGACGTGACTTAGTTATGATTTTGAGCGCCTCAAACTGACACATCAAGTCATGCATGTCATATTTACAGCTTGAGTAAACTGACTGTTTTAATGCTGCGTTTTGCTCGTGCAAACAATATCAATCTATGCAATGTATTTGTAGTATGTATTTATATATTTCCAACTAATTCCCCCAGTTTAGGCCATGTTACACGATGCAATTTTTCTTGCAATTTGCAATGCAATTCTTCTTTTGAGAGATGTAAATTTGGCAACTACCGAACTTTCGTCTATATTACGCTCCATGGCGATTGTTGTACCGCTTGCACTTACACTTTAAAGACTCTTCACTAATTTACATCTGTTTAAAGTAGACCATGGCCTTTAATTTCAAATGAATCATCCAACATGGCAACAGAGAAGCGCGTATTGTATTTACGGTAATTCAATCCTGATCTTTTTTCTTTCCTTTTCAGTTGATTTTAACTTTCTACATGCATGCATTTATCGCGTCAATCTTTATATGAAGACACAGCATGTAAAGATAACTAGAACCTGCTTGGATTACTTACGTGTGTAAAGCACTCCCATGCATGGCTGTTATTCACAGGCTATTCATTTTTCTAAGATTAATTGGTGGTAACTTAACACTCCGCCGATTATTTCCCGGGCGGGATTTTTTCCTTTCTGTATAAATACTACTTTCACTGTTTTGTTTTACGAGTTGTTTATCCCGTCGTAAAGAAACCTTTTTGGTCTTTCTAAAATCCTGTTTTAGCGCTTCTTGTGTTTGTTGAATCATTCTTACTTTTTTCTTTTTCATAGATTCCAAAAACGTCAAGTTTCTTCCTAAAGATGCGTCGAGCCCGCGGTTTTTGCTAGCGGCGTACAAAGCCGCATAGCGAGTCGTCGGTCGCGAGCTTGTGGCCATTAGGGTAATATCTCGTTTATTCGCTTCCTGTAAGAGTCTGTCTGCTTTTTGCTTCGGCGTTTCATTCAAAATCGTGATATCACAATCCACGTCGGGAGAAGGGGTAGTTTCTGGTCGCGAAGAACACCTCTGACTCCGCAGGGAACTTCTAAGGTCACGGTCAAATTGAAGCGAATTAAAACCTTGCAATCCATCTGGAGGTTTCAAAACAGCCTTCTGCATCTTTGAATCTATATATCAAGATTGTTCATTAGCGTTGCTGCTCTTCCTGTCTACTTAACTCCATTAAATTTCCGTGTAACATTCTTCAGCAATACCATGACAGTCACGAACAGTTACCTTCCTTTTAAACGTCACTGGAAAACATCGCTTATACTCTGCTGAAGTTTAATACGTTTTGAAACAATTGCAACTGTTCCTTGTTTTGACTTAGCATGAACACGTTGTTTATGGATCGACCGACCGCGACAGGTGCTATATATGTTGCTATAACTGTCATTTTGCAGGTGCATGTATTCTATATCAATATTTTCATCATAATACAACAAGAAATTTACCCAGTCTCTTGTTATAAATTTTGTGATAGCTTTTGTTTTGTTAGCACTATATAAGTCAAATATTGCATTATATGGTATTTTAATAAATTTGTAAATCGTTGTCTACTCGAAAGGTTTGCGGTAATAGTAAGATGTTATTAGGGGATGTCTTTCAATATGCATAAATATTGATATAGTTCATTTGCTCAACGCCATGGTGATTAAAATTTATATATTATTAATAAAGGTCTATATTTATACAAGGTCGGAAAATTTGAATAATTGTTGTTTATGATGCCATGCGCTTCTAGATCTATTTTTCTTTGGTCAAGGCGATGAAGTCTAGAAAAATTTATTACATTTTATTTTCTAATTTATCGCGGTAATTATATAACTTTTGTGATCTGAGGACTCGTACCGAAATTTCATTGGTTTTGAAGCAATGTCATTAACAATTTATTTCACCGGCTGTAATTGCATATGCACACTATTCTTAGACTGTTAGCTAAGTTAAGCCTATATTACTATTTGGGGGGAAAAGGTGGAAAAACATGGATTTTGATTTTCTTATACATGCTTCTACGACACAAATAACATACCTTTGCGAGTCAGAAAATACCTTTTTAACAGCTATCTGAACCTCATGCAGTGTAACTTTGTGTATTTTTAGTTTAATTTTGAACAGTGTGATTACAAAATTACAAAACTCAATAATTGCAGCCGAGTTATACTCGTGATTAATAAGTTATATTATTTCTCGACTACACCTCGTTCTTTTACCACTATTATCATGTAACCGCATATGCAGTTATTTATCCCGGTTATGCGGTTTATATCAACCACAAAATAAATTTGCGGTTTAATTATTTGCCATCGACCTAAATTGCATTTCGCGCTCTTCCTTTTTATTTATGCAGATTTGTTAACATAACAAACGTATTATACAATGCAGCCTATTTTCAGTGTCGTGCATTATCATTTCATTTGCATGCAAACAAAATGTTTTATCTAAGGAAAGGAGAAATTTTGAATCCGTAATCACCGCAATGAACTTACCAGCGGCTGCATGTCACTTCTGGAGTGAAGGTGTATCGGAAGGGGGGGGGGACGGTGGATATGATCATTCGTCATATACTAAGCGCAAATACAATGAGAAGATTACTAACAGCTTATTGAAAAAAAGATATATAATGTTCTAGAAAGAAAGCCCTGTTTACACCGCTGCAATGCATTTATTCGTACGTCGACTCGCCTAAAATTTATGTAAATGTAAATTTCTTCTTTTCACAGTCAACGAACATGATATTAGCATAGCAGGACAGATCTTCAGGCTGGCTACGCTACTGAAAATCAATGAAGCGCGGGAAAACAGTACTTCAAGAATCATTTAAACTAATAATAACCACACAATATCGCCATTACCCAGAAAACAAAAACTCAGAAATTGTAATATTCAAATTCGAATACTTTTAATTTAATTCCTACGGAAATGAATTTGAACAAACTTTTAGACGTTTTTTTTCAAAATAGCTTCACGTGTGAATACGAATCACGTGCATCAACGTTGGTATATACATGCGGTCACGTGGGCCAAAAGACCAATTAGGACACTTGCCCGTTTAGGAAAACTTTTAAATCTTGGACAATTTTATATTACTTCAAAGTTCGTCCACGGGACGATTCAACGTCTCCCCATAGTTCGTAGCTTTGCTTTTAACAAATAACTCTTGTTTGTCCAATATTTCCCGCTTGGTGACAGTCTTGTCCTGAAATGAGAAATGACAGTGGAACATTATACTGGAGAACTTTCTCAACACCTATGGGTTGAAACAGAGCCTGTAAATAGACTATAATTAGCATTAAAGCATCATCTCTTTACGCACTCTCAAAGCATTCGAATTGTTGTATATAAATATGTAAATAGAAAAACTCATGAAATAGTAGCTATTTTACAAGTCTTTAGTTTTATTGCCTTAGTTTCTTATACCAGGCCAGCCTGATAACTGATGTTTAGACTTCAGTGTTGTTATCGTTCAGTTGTATTAAATTCTATGTATGCAAATAAAACATACCTTATTTCCATCAGCCTCATACATTAAATGTTCTGTCTCAGCATCAAGCGGATTATAATTGACAGGAAACAACCAAGTGAGTACTTCTGCCTAAGAATGTGGAATTTAAATTACTTTATAAATTATGTGCTATTGTAGTCCACTGAGAGATAAAGAGTATCTACGGTCATTTATTTCTCTATATAATAACTTCTTTTCTGTTGGAAAATTATGTAAGCATGTAATGTAGAAAACAAAAATGTCTTCTGCTTGGTTGACTTTTCGCGCTCGTTTCTCGGGTTCTGCTAATTGCAGAGTTCAGTAGGTTGTGCCATAATTCACTCCTACCTTATTAAGTTTTCCGTCGCCGTCCTTATCTCTTTCCTTCCGAAAGTATTCTCTTTCCTCGTCCACCCACTCCGGTTCTGTTTCACCATAATCACCTTTTAAAAACAGTAGAAACAATTTCCTCTTACAATTTTTGTGTAGCAGGGTGGTTTTAAACTAAAAACTTCTGCAGTGCAACGTATATTCTACTGTCGTTGCGACGAAAGCGCTAATAATATGCCTTCATCTGCTATCCTTGCAGCTAAAAAGCTTCAAAGAAAACGCAATCGTCTACCGGGCATTGAATATCGTAATGGACACAGAATAGCTGACAAAATAATTTAACAAACCATCACGATAGTACTGTTAACAATCGCTTGTATGCGGCAATATGGACGAAAACCAGCCGCAACAGTCCCCCCCCCCTGCGCCCTACTTTAGCTTTGTATCGTTCTGGTGAACCTGGGTACGAGTAGAGCTGTAAAACCTGAGCAAAGCCACCATGCAGTAAGAAAAGTTGACAAAAATATGAATTACCAATATATTCTTCAAGAGAAAGGTATCCATCTTTGTCCTTGTCTATCCCTTTTAATGTTTCCTCAGCAGCGATTTCATGCATTCTCCTGTATTCGCCGGGGTGTAAATATGCCGAGTATTCGTCTTTTGTTAACATATTGTCGTGGTCGGAGTCTGCGGCCTGATATTTTTTTTTGTCGAATTCCCGTTTCTTCTTGTACTGTTCGTCCACATTTCTGTTGTCGTGATCTTCGTGAATATAAAAAAAAGAGATCTCAAACATGGTTGAATTTTAATATGAGTAACTTGAAGGGTGTACAGAATGCAATTCAATAAATATGAAATATTTTAAGCGGAATGGATCAGGGGAGAATTCCTCATAATAATTTATATTGTTCAAATAGGAAATTGAAAGATTCCTAGCTTTAAAGGACAACAAAATGCTAATCCTGGCCATGAAATAACCTCTTGTGTTTTGACTCTTGAATTCCAACAACTAGATCGAAGATATTCTAATCATACGCTATATATGATCTCTTGCTGAACTTACTTATAAAAGAAAAACCTACTTATTTAATTTGCAGCACGTTCTCCAATGATGCTGATTTGGACAAGCATGCGAAGAATATTTCTTAATCAAATTTCTCACCCATTTTATGCCCATAATGTCTCTCTTTAAACTCGTCCCAGGATATCACTCCATCACCATCCGTGTCAATCTTATGAAAACGCTTATCCACCTCATCACGAAGATGTTTCAGTTGAATATATTCCATCCAAGCCCTTAACTCTGTCTTTGTTATGTTACCATTGCTATCCTTGTCTATTTTATCGACAATTTCACTGCAAAAAAGAATTCAATCCAATACTTAAGGCCCTGTTACACGGTGCAATTTTTGTTGCAACTTGCAATGCAATTCTACTTTTGGGAGATGTATATTTGGGAACAACTAAACTTTTGTGTTTATTACACTTCGCTTTTCTTCTGCAAGAATCTTCAGTAATTTGCATCTCTTGGGAAGTAGAATTGCATTGCAAGTTGCAAAAAAAATTGCACTGTATAACAGGGCCTTAATTTACAATGCATGTAAACTCAATGTATACCCAAATAGCAATAGTATGCCATGGTTATGGGTACGCGAGGCATATGAATAGGCCCTAAATCCACCACTGTTTGTGCCCACATCAAAGAACACATTACTATATTACAGTCATTGCGTTCAGAAAATATACCCAGGCGTTCCGAAAAATATTAGGCAATAGACTTTTCTCATGAAACGTCAAGTGCGAGAAGGGACAAGGAGTTTCATGGTCTCGTTAGTGTTGCGGGCCAGTCAAACATTTTAACATCATTAAACAGTTTAACATCAGATTTCCCGCGTTTGACGTCATCATGAGAAGAGTGATCAATGGATAGATCAATAGATTTAAGTCAGAATAGATTACTACAGTTCTAACTTCAGTAACTTGCATCATATATATTGGTAGAATAAATAAATTTTATGGAATAAGACACCATTATTTGGGGCCATATTTAATTATTCACTCGTGCTTTATGCAAATTGTTTACCTGACTGCTTCCGTAAATTAATGCGGCAGCGATAAAATAATATATCATAATACCAAGTATAAACCTTTATGTATAATTGGCAAACTCCATTGCAACAAAACTTTGGCCCCTTGGCAGCCTGTTATAAACATAATCCTATTCAACAAGATCCCCATCTTACCTAAGACGCAGTCTGCTCTCTTCTGGCGTGAGAGTTTTAAATGTATCTCTCTCGCTCTCATCAAGAAATGCTTTGTGGTCATGTTCTACATTGTGTTTACCGTCAATGTAATGATCACTTGGTCGAATGCGTGGTATTGAGTTGACTAGCACACAACAAAGCAGACTTAGAAAGCATTTTATTTGTATCTCCATGATGACAAATCCTAGATACAGCCACTAGCGTTCAATCAAATGAATCAATGCTAAACCCTCACGATGAACCTCGCATTTAAACATGGCTCGACGAAATATATGCCACGTTGCTGTTTTGTGTTTTGAGTTACTATAATGCGCTATTGTCTTACAGCGTCGGTAAAAACCCGCAAACGGGCATTGATGTCATAAGATGAGTCCCAGTGATGCATTTGTGTTTCGCTCGTTCCGTTCCAAATAGGCATGACTTTAGAACAGACTGCATTGTCAATGTCAAAATGTTATTATGAGCGTTTTACAACAAAACTGCCCACAGATTTTTATATTTCGACATGCATTCAAAATGGGACCTTCGGCGGCCAATTGCCACGTACCCAAATTTGCGCTGTCGTATTACACGCATGATCATGCCACGTCGTGGGAGCTGACGCACCAAACTCAGGCAAAGTATTCAAGGATTGTCATTTTGCCCACCCATGAACTACCTTCGTCTGAACCCCCAAATGCTAACTTATTTCCAACACCCCCAAGCTAAGTCTGAGCAGACTTCTGCAGATGATTGTTAATTTTAACCAAGAATACTAAATCGCCCCAATTTATTTGCAAAATAATTTTAAAGATTAGTAATTGAGGTAGAAATGTCATCGCCCAGACTCGGAAGTGACCGGAAACTAGCATGAATGAACTCAAATTTTCAAAATAGTGGGGAAAACCCCTGACACAGTTACGACATTTTATGCCTTGCTGCCTCTTTGATACAAATAGATTTTGCGCAATTTATTTAAATATTTATTCCGTCTTAGACACTAAGTTCATCCTTTTTATTGTGTTGCGGATTTCGAGTAAATGAGTACTTAATTTTGCCTTTTATGCGAGAGATTGACAACAACAATAAGGGCTTTCATATGTGCTGGACAGAATCAAGTAGCCAATAGAAATGCTTCATTTTTATCACGTGATAGCAACTGTCCAATAGCGCACGGCCACATTTCCACGCAAAGTAAGAAATTTCAAAGCGCATAGAAAACATTCGCATTTGCGCGACGAATACATTCATTGCTTGCGCCCTGTGACACAACAATCTGTCGAAGAAATCATGGCAAACGTACGATTTTTATTGTTTTTTATTTTGCTCCCTACATGTCTAGCACACTCAGTGCCCGGGAGAGCTGAAGATGGTCACTACACAGAGGATGGCAAGCATAATGATGAATATGACCACGAAACGTTTCTCGGCCATGATGGGCAAAAAGAATTCGGCGAACTGAATAATCAAGAGAGAATACTTAGACTCAGGTAAGCATAGACGTCGTTAAGTGCATCTATCTATTTACTTACCGGAGCTCTTCTATCAGTCCTTCGCGAGCATGCATGCACCCCGAAGTCTGAAGTCTAAACTTTGTATGAAATATATTATGCCTAATTTAATATTCACGTGAAAATAGATAAATTAAAATAATAATTGATATGAATCTCGAATGTTTACAATCATGAAACAATAAAGCACACATCACTTTCCATTGATCCGTAGTTGAAAGCTTGAAAGAAAGAGGTATTTGTGTGTAAACACTGCTAACTGTTTTAATTACCACATCCTGAACATTTCCTGTTACAAATTCATATCTGCATGCACAGATCCATGGCAATCGATTCGATTCTATCTGTTGTGCGCGCGTCCTTATCCTGAATGCGTGATTCCTTTACTCATGGATTCTAATCGAAAGCAGCGATGCAAGAAACTCACAAAGCGCATTCGATGTTATATTTATACATATCGTGTTTAATATGTTGGTAATTTGAAACCACTGAACTTATGGGATGACTAATTTGCATTTAATCTGACATTGCTGATCATTCATTCTGACTTGCCACTCGATCACCCCTTGGAAATCAGTTTTCGTCTGCTGAAACTCTTCTATTTAAACTCGTGACCAAAGTTTTGACATGCCTGGTTCACCGCTAGGGTGCGTGAATAATAGATCATGGTCATATTCATGGGCCACGGGGAACAATATTTTTATTAAACATTCTTATAGTAAAATTGTGAGATTGTTCAAGTTTGCATGCAATACTCGCAGAGTTTTTTGTCCAGGGACCAGGGGCCGTTTGTATAAAACGCTCAACTACATTTTAAGTAGTTAAATCGTAGTTACTAGAAAATACATTATTCTGATTGGCCAAATCTGCAACTACCTTTTTATACAACTGACCCATGGAAAATGATTTTTTTCAATGAAACAGTTCTAGCGACATGTAACGGGTTTATAATGAAGCCGTGTAAAAGATTCATCCCCTCATTCTGATTTTGTTTGAATTGCATCGTCGTTTTCCTTTCTGTGTGTCTGAAGTTTACTTTGAAATAAATTACTGTGCATCATAGCATTTCCAAAAGTGTCCTCAATTGTTTATTTGTTATTTTTATTTTACTCCACTATTCAAAACTATATAGCTACTTTTGAAAATTTATAGTAAATTATTGTTTTTAAGCAAACTGGTTGACAAAATCGATAAAAATGGCGACGGTAATGTATCAAAGAGTGAAATGACAGAGTGGTTGAAATACATTTCATTAAATGAACCGAAGGAATTAATGAGAAAGTATTGGGCTGATAATTATCCCTCGATCATTGATGGTGATGGCCTTATCAGCTGGGAGGATTATCAAGCTTTAAATTTTCCTGGAAAAGATCATGGTAAGGTTCTCAGCCATTGAATTTCTCTGCAAATTTAAAACTTCTGAAGTTGCTTTTTAAAGGTCCTGATGTAACATGACGTATGACCTTGTCCGCTATCTTTGGGGCGACAAGAGCAAAGAATTTCACGTGAACCGGGACAATAACTGATGATATAGCTAGCTAGCTCGGTCGCCATCTTAAACGAAGCCAATTTAATGGTTCACTCATTTTGCAGAAAAACTGAGTCACATGCCGATTACATTGATATAATATATATAGCATGCAGAACAAACACAGCTAAGATAGACTAAATTTTTACACTAAAAAGCCTAAAAATAGGCACTAAAGGTTTCTACATCGAGATCAGAAATGTCATGTATATATATACATATCACCCAGACCCAGTGTATCAAAGAATGAAAATATGAAATGACAGAATTGAAATATTCTTCAAATTGTCTTCAAACACGGCCGTCAGCCATGAGTTGCATAAGCATAGGCATATCCCAGATGAAAAGTGGGTAATAAAGATAACGAAAGTCCGTAAACAGATTTTGTGAACACTCACCAAAAATAATTTTCAAAAATAATTTATATCGCTGTATCTTTGACTGTAGATGAGACAATAATAGCTAGGATCAATAAATATCACAAACGGTTCGAAGCAGCTGATGAAAATAAAGACAACAAACTGAGTTTGGATGAATTCGTGGCATATCAGTACATGGATCTCTTTCCTCGTATGTATGACGTATTCATAGATGAAGCGATGGAGACGATGGACTTGAATAAAGACGGCGTGATAACTTTCGAGGAATTCAAAAAAGGTTTGTGGCGTGGATTTCGTTTAATGGCTTTAATCGAATAGCCCAGAACGTGCCCGTGCGAAATCCACAATATACTGGACTGTAGATAAAACCTTAGTTTGTGGGTGTATATTCATATATTCCTCTTATGCCCGACTGATTTCTTTTGTACGTTGTTGTTACTAAATATGATATGTCAACATGAATATATGAATATACACCCCACTCCCCAATTGATCGGTTTAGCTACCACCCTAACAATGTGACGATGTGTCTGCTACTTCAACCAAAAGCGTTGATGGTCTACACTGAGTTTGTAAACTTTAATATTGCTGCATGGTCATTTTCTTGGGCCATACTGTTATGGAGATTACCCAAAATTTGTCGAACTTGCTTTCTGTTAATTTCTTCCAGGCGAAAAAAGATCCCGTGAGGATACAAAAAGGGAGTTTGGTATCAGGGATTTAAATAAAAATGATGTACTGGACAAGGTGAGTCTTTGACCTTTACCTACTACAGTTGATCTACGAATACAAGGTGAAAAATCGATCAGGTCGTCGCGTCATGAGTGAAGAATGTTGTGCTGAACCCCATGAATAACAACAGTATATATTATACTTGTACTTTAAAGATCTGTTCACACGGTCCAATTTTGTCGGATCCAATTCATTTTGCCCCGTTTACACTACACTCTATTTATCGGCACGACACGACTAAAATTGGTACCCGTACCCAATTTTATTAGTATTAAGGTTACCAAAGCAAAGATCGAGCACAGACAAAATGGGCACGGGTACCCATTTTAGCCGTGCCGTGCCAATAAATCGAGTTTAGTGTAAACGGGGCTATAGTCTGTTGAATTGCAATGCACGTGAGCAGCAAATCACCTTAAACCAACGCAGTACTGCTTTGTCAATAACCTGACTTTATTTCATACGCCATGCATGCAGAAGTGAATTGGATGCAATAAAATTGGATTGCTTCAACAGACCATAATATATCATAAAATTTTTGTATCATAATGTTGTGTATCATAATATTCCGATATGTTTTATTCATTATATTTTACCGACCCCGTCCGGGGTCATCACCCAGTCTATGGTCATTTTATGAAACCTTCTTTCTTCAGGATGAAGTGAAGGAATGGTATTTTCCGACGAAATACGATCGCCATGAAAACGAAGCATTGCATCTCATTGGCAAGGCTGATAGTGATAAGGTGTGTATTGTAAGTTGTATAACTAAAGCGGTGTTTAAATCAAGATTTTCTGGGCCCTGTTGTATGAAAGCAGGATATAGCGCTATCCACCGCATTAGTGTTTTTTCAATCGCTCTAAAATCGCCTGTTGTTGGCTGAAATTTAATTAAACCTTACAGTATTCCTAAATTGAGGAACCTCTTTAATAATAATTGGTTCCTAAGCTGAAATCTTATTGCTTTTCAAGCATTTTTAGAAAAGTTGAAAAAATCACTATAATCCGATGGATATAGCGCTAACCAGCATTCGTGCAACCGGCAACTAAAAATGAACAAGTGTAGTGCATGCAGACTCTTCAGGATTTAGCATGGTACATGAGATTCGGGTCAATAAATTCTGTGCATGTACAGGTCGTACAGCAACACATGCATATATACATCATAAATCTGTTACACATGCAGAGTGCATCTATATAAAAGATGTCCGGAAACGTAAAATTCCCACTGACAGATTTCCACTGTCGCGTTTTTTCTACAGAGGTGTACGGACGTGCATCTATGTCGTTACATCGGCCTTATAGTTTTTACACCGGCAAAAACGTACTATATTCACGAACAGAACTCAATTGCAACCTCGTTCTGCTATTCATTTGTTGGATTAAGAAGGCTCATATATATGACCAACAACTTACGATATATGTAACAAGATGGAAAAAAATCACCACAGCTAAGCTCGATCCCGGTCGTAGAAAAAATTGAGGAACATTCCTTTTTGTAATTGTCTAAATCAAAAGTTGGTCTAGTATGCAAAAGTCCAATGCCTTTTGCAGATACGCGCAAAATAGAATAAGAGTTATTCTTTTGTGGCAAAATAAAAAATCTCGCATTATAATTGTCGCCAAATATAAATATGAAAGTCGATCGACTTTAAAAAAAATCTTATAGCCTACTTCTTTCTTAAATCTTAAATAGGACGATGCACTCAGCAAGGACGAGATATTACACAACTACGACGTTTTCGTTGGCAGTAGAGCCACTCACTGGGGCGAAACTTTGAAGAGAAATGTTGATGAATTGTGATACCGGCATTGAAATTCATGGAGATAGCGACATAGCTATATAGCTTACCTGCTTACGCGATAATTTCAACTTGCTGCTTCGAGAGTCGTCGTCTTAGAAATAGGGTAAAAGCCAGTAAATACATTTCTATCATCTGTCACTTCTCCTTCCCTTTGTCTTAATTAGCCTTTTATTTAAATGTTTGTCTGCATTACACTCAATTTATTGCCATGCACGGATGAAATTTGGTTCGGGTACCAATGGACGGCTAACGTTTTAGACTAATTTCTTACCCCGGGAATAAAAAGGACATTTTCTGAAAGAGCGTATTAAAATGAGTAAAACGCCAAGTTTGACTGGGAATTGTTTTAAATCACGGAAAATATAGCCATGCGAAGGTGACAAATTTTGTATACTTTTGTATTACGGCTGGAAGTGTGTAAGCCATTTTGTTAACTAATTTAGTTAACTAATTCACAGAATTTCGCGGCCAAACTTTGCATTTACACTAATTTAAGTGCGCTTAGCGGCTGATTTCATGGAGTGTTTTCAGCCAACCGGGCTGAAACTTCAGCCCAGGGTTGCTATAAAATCCCAACAAAATCGCGCAAGAGATTGCCGGGCTGAAATTTTCATGTAATCGCGTGCGTGATTTTGTTAGGATTTTATAACAACCCTGGGCTGAAGTTTCTAGCTGAAACTCAGCCCGGGCTGAAAACACTCCATGTAATTAGCTCCTTAGTAAGTAAGTTTATTCCCTTCTTGTTACCCAATGAAAAAATTAGTCTAAAGCGCAAGTCGCGATCGTACCAATTACCATGCCAATAATTATATTGAGTGTAGTGTAAATAGAGACTATATGGAGTTTTTGAGCAACCAGATCTCCATGCCAAACAAAAGCTCGAAAGGCTTGTTGCCGAGAAAAGAAATCGACAAAGGGGTTAGGATCTTTAAATCTGTTAATAGAGGTTTAGGTCATAGGCCAGTCTGACTTCTGCGTCTTAATCAGTGATCGTCAGTTAACTTTTTGAGGCTTTGTCTTACCCATTTTACACGGTGAAATTTTTCTTGCAACTTGCAATGCAATTCTACTTTTAAGAAATGTAAATTAGTGAAAAGTATTCAGAATGCAAGTGTAAGAAACGCCATGTGAGTACATGTAATAAAGACAAGAGTTTTGTAGTTACCAAATTTACATCTCTCAAAAGAAGAATTGGATTGCAAGTTGCAGGAAAAGTTGCACCGTGTAACAGGGCCTCTGAGTTGTGCTTTGCGACATAATCTCAAAATAAAAATCGCAGTTACAATAAAAATCATCATGGCAAAATAAAAATAAATATATAATTGGTCATGCATACATCCTGTCGAGGCAAAAACAATGTCGAAAGGGCAACATATTAAGTTGCTTTGAAAATACAAATAACTTTTCTAGGAAAACCATGTTTGTTTTTATTTACTGCGAACATATATAATCGTTTTCGTTGTTTTGCTTGCGTTTATTTCGCTTGGCTGCTTGCACTTGCTTCTTGCTTTTAAACGCTTGAAATACATCAGAATGATAAAAACCCATCGGGCTATCTTGTTGTGTTTCTTTGATATTATACAAACAACAATATTTATTTTTAGTACTTTTGATTTTGAACGATATCTCGTAAGCTTATCAAGTGACTCGTTTCCAATCCAACAGAATGGCATTCAAAACTCTCTTCCAAGACGTCTATCACGTGTTTTAAACCGATATATTATACAAATACCAATTCGTCATTCGCAACTTCGGATTTCGAACGATGTTTCGAGAGCTTATCAGGTGACTCGTTTCCAATCTCTTCGAGCAATATCACATTCCCCTCTGGATCCTTTGTACGCCATACACGTAAGTTAATTTGCACAAGTGAAGAAACCAAATTACACCGCGCAACATCAAGTTTTCGAAACTTCAAACGCAGCACCGCTGATCTTGTTAGATGAAGATGCGCATATAGTTCCTTCTTCAACGAGATTTGGACGTCTAGGCCTGGGTAAGAATGAACATTGAAAATGCAAAATCCTGTTCTTATGAAATTACATTGTTGTGATATGAGCCGTTCATAATATTCTCTCATTTTCTCAAAATCTTTGACGAATATATGAAATCTTAGAATCTTGTTGCCAAAATGTATTGGAGAAATCGCCCAGAGAGGCAAATGCTTGGAGAATTCATAGAAATCCATACAGCCAATCACCGTAGAGTCGTCAACATTATTTAACAGTTTAATGCTATGGCGTAATTGCCAGATATCTGCCTCATTCTGAATGGTACCCAGTACCTCTTCATATAGCGCTTCGTCTATGAACAAGACCACACTAAGGGCCTGGATACTAGTCTCCTCACTGTTTTCAATTTCGCTCGTGTTTAAACGATCATGTTTTACAGCCAGGGGGGAGATTTCATCGTTACGAAATCTGATGAACTTCCAACCTGGATCTACATGACTCAAAATTTTCGCCAGGTGTTTTCGCGTTGATGGAATCTCTGCTCTCGGTAGAAATATGTCGGCTTTGCATAAATATAACGCTGTTTCCTTTGTCGTTCTCGTCCGGATCCTATTGAGGATTGGCGAGTTCTTGATTCTCTCTCTTCTGAAGCTCATCGAAAATTATGGGTTTTCAGACTCCTTGAGTACGGTAATATTGTAGGTCTGTTGTCTTCTCCACTAAAAACACAGGACAACGCATTTACATTTTCAGATATGGGCTTGTTTATCTGTATGGCAACAATAGCTCTTATAGTTATCACTCGCGCGGGGAGATGCACGGCCAAACTTAGATGCGATAATTGGGAGGTTTCCAATGAACATTAAATCAAGTTGGGTATATCAATATACACCCCACCATAATATACATCACGCTATAGTTAGGCCCTGGGGGAATTCAAAATGATCGTTAAAGAATATATTTCGTGGGAGAAAAATGCTTTGTAGGTGAACTCAACTGCATATTTGAATGATAATTTGTATATCAGACTGATAAAAGCATATGAGATAATAAACTTCATTAATCTTCATTATGATTTCATATGCATTATCTATTGCTTGAATTGCATTCGACGCAACCACAATGCGACGTATAACCAAAGCCATATAGTGCAGGAGCTTGGAACATAAAAAAGACTAGTGACAACGGACCTAATTGAACGATAACAAGCTTATGGTACTCGCTCTCTTGAATGATGAAGATAATAAACCCTAACAAACTACAGACTGTGCTTCACAAATTGATCATAAGCTCGAGACTTTTATAGGATAATTGCAGATGAAGCAAAATTCTGGAAACTGCTGATAATTGTAAATAAAGCAAATTCTGGAAACCGCTCTGGTAAAGTAAAGAGCAGGAGCGGGTAGTCTAATTTTCTCTGAGTAAGCACTAATGAACGTTAACCTAATACTCGCTATCTATAAGTAAATTGATGGCTAGTAGCATAGCCAATTAGCATTTACAGTAATATTCGACTACATTTTGCTAAAACTCATTAGCTAGCTCTGGTCGCCCATGCCTCCAAATCTCAGGATAACTCCTCGCAAAATATTACGGAAAGGTTCGTCTTTGGGATGTAGGGCCACTGAAAGCACGAAAATATATGCATATTTTTCAACGACATTATAATTAAATGTTTTGGTCGCAGTTTGTTTTCATTTATATACGACCGTCTCTTCACAACAATTCGCAATTCCAAAAAGAATCCGAAAATATACACGATCCTGATCCGCCAATTTTGCCACTAATTATAGTTGAGAGTTAACTAACGGTTGTTCAAAAGCCGGTTTACTTAACCTAGAGTTAACGCAATTTTTTACATCATTTTTTTTTCATCGCTTGTCAATAAGAGTTGAATATTTTTTCCATGAGTATTTTCTGGTTCAATAGAAATCATATTTTGCAAAGTTTTAAAACAAGCGACGGTGCAGAAGCACGTAAACTAAAACAGCGGATTGGATTTAAACCCGGTTAGCGCTAACCTAGCTTTGAAGCATTTTATCAAGTTAATTTTTCGATGTGATGTTACACCAATGCAGAAATATAGTGATATTTGGATATGAGACAGGTTTTAATATAACTCGAGAGAGAGCAAGTTACTAAAATTTTACAAAAAGTTACTGAAGTGAATTTAAAATTTTTAAAACTCGTGTCATATACAGGCAAGGAACTTTGCACCACGAAATATTTATCAATACAGGGCGTAATTTCTTGCAATACCTCCTTTGTGTGCAATCTGCGACATACGAAACCTAAACTGCAACAGATATTTGCTTGTCATTTCTTGGACACTTACCTTAAAGTTGCATAAAATGATGTTGCAAACCTTGAATCAACCGTGAACTTGTCAGTTGGTAGCTTCTTTTATAGGTTCGTTTCAATCTCGCTATCATCAGCTACTAAAAGATAGAGTTCGCTTTATGTTAACAGCTAAAGTTTCCACGACTGTTTATTATAATTAATCATATGTAAATAAAGCGAAGATCGCATATAAACACACAGCGTTCTATAAGGCCATAAGCCAAATACTTGCATAATAATTCGTGAATACTTTCACTCGTTAGAGGCTTTCTTACCGCTTTGCGGCCGCCAATGTTTTTACGAAACGTCTTTCTGAGCATTCTTACAGTGAATTAATTTTCCATTTAAAAGAAAATGCCATGCCATGGAGCGTTTATGCAAGTTGACTAAGTTCAATGTGAAGATCGACCTTTTAACCTTAAAAACCACACGTACTTCAGAAATCCCTTTCAATATTGGCTAAGTCTAACTCTTTCGTGTTCTTAATGCTGTAAAATGCTTTGCACTTCACTGAAATATCCGAATGCCTCTAAAGAACTTTGCAATTTACGCATGCACATCCGTTAGAACCGTTTAGAACAAGAGAGGTTATTCTAATTACTTGATTTGTTACTATAATGAGAATTACTATATCCTAACGTTGACTCATAACATAGTTTCAATTCGCACATCAAACATCCACAATCAAACCATTACAAAAAAGAATCCAAGGCTCATTATCGTCTTGTATAGCCCTCGAAACTGCCATCATGGAAACGCAAGGGAAATATCTTGAAGTATTCTCAAACATGTCAACGTTCGCTATATTGCCAAAAATGATCGTAATGTATACCTTGATCCCCTTAGTTCCACTAACAATTTATCAAATTACCTTTAAAAAATATGATTTAATCTCCTTTCAGTTTCAAACACATGTTCGCTTTCTGGATAAGCGCGTTTCGTCGGGTATAAAAGCAATGAACAGTATCTCACTTCACTCCATGAATACAGTTGGTAAATAAAACTACTTCTTGCAATATAAATGGATCGTTTGTCTTATAGGTTTCGACACACAAAGTAAACATTTGAATCCTCTTGTTGATATAAATATGAACGACGAACATAATTTGCATGAAATTGATGGGGAAATGCGAATTTCGATTGATTTTAGGGAAATTTTCAATACATATTGTATCAAACTTTTTTAATTTTAGCACTTTTGGAGAGTGAGGGCGCTGGTAAGTTGTAGTTTTAGCTGTTGAACTTGTCAAATTTAGTCCGGAATATTTAATCCATATGAATTAGATATATAAACACTGAACTCTCTTTCCTATCGCATGTGCATGGCGACTTCCCATGAGTCTGTGTGGGCATTATTGACTCTAATCCAACAGAAAATAAAACCTCATACCCAGGGGTATCCCCTAGAAAAAAACCTGGGTACGAGGTTGCAGAAAAGATTTTGATAGCGATTTCGTTCGTAATCATGCATCGGTAACATGCGATAATAATTATTGACACCCAGCCCAGCAGCCGTAAGGAATATGAATAGAAAACTGTGCCCAGCCAAAACAAATTCTAAACAAGCAGCAAAACTTTATTAAAGCACTAATAATACCCAGCTTACATACATGTCTCTCTAACTCTTAAGAAGAATCTTTCACTTTCTTTATGGTCTGGAAATCGGTCCATGTTTATGCAAATTTGTTCGAAGTAAAACTTGATTCTCATTGGTCACCGACAGTCGGTGTTGGCTGTTGTTGGTGATTTTTAGAGAATAAATTCTTTGTTATTTTCTTCGTCACTTGGGAATAAGGCCTCAAAACATCATATTTTTCATGAAGCCCATCATGGATCATTGCCCAATGTCGTTACCTGAATCACCTCATCATAGAACTCAATCTTACTTCAGAAAACCAGAGCAATTTTCAAATGTTAGAGCTGACTATAGATGCATGAAATTTACCAAATTTCCAAACCATCAAAAGTGAAAATACTTCAGATACACTCGCATGCACACGTTTAACTACGCCATCTTGAGCGTTCTCGTAATAATGTGTTTGAGACACTTGCAATTAATCATGAAAATTTTGATCCTCTTCATTTTTCCTGCAACTTTTTAGCAAGTTCGCGCGGCCTATTTCAAAATGTTGTAACTATATTATTCCCAGTCGTAATTGTTTTGATCCTTCTTTTATTGCGCTAAACTGAGGAGAAAACTATTTACATTTATATTATCAGTATAAAAGCGTTGATTTATCTTGTTAAAAGAGTAATTGAGGTTAAACCAGATGACCAATGTTAAACATGGCGGTGAACCTCGTTGAATCAAGCACAGTTTTATACACGTATTTCTTAAATGACGGGATTTTTAAATGCTAAGACAGCAATAATAGCTGTTTCCGTCTTGCCTTTTCCTGTTGCCATTGGGCGTGCAATATTAAAGAGAGGTTGTAATTTTTTAACTTTAAATTAAGTTGAAGTTGTAAAATTTCCTGGATAGAGTAGCAGTTATTACAACACGTTTGTAAAAACAAAGTCAGTGTAAAGTCAATAGTCAAATACAAGAAATTGCTATTCTTGCACTATTTCATGGCTTGAATCTAGTTTAATAATAGTCATCTACTGGTTCTTGTTTCACCATTTGTTTTTCCTTATCGCCTGCTTCCATGTTTCCTTGATAACCATAATATCCATCATCCTCTGTTTTTATTTTCTTTATTGCGTCTTCTTTTCTTTCACCATTGCGTTCATCGTCTTCATCACGATCACGCTTGTGACGATCACGACGTTCACGATCAGAACGATCTCTTTCACGCTCACCATCCCTTTCGCGGTCACGTTCACGCTCTCCATCACCCTCTCTATCACGCTCGCGATCACGGTCACGTTCGCCATCACGCTCACGATCGCGTTCGCCACCACGTTCACGGTCACGTTCGCCATCACGATCTCGATCACGAACCGCATCACGCTCTCTATCACGATCACGATCACGCTCTCTATCACGATCACGTTCCCCCTCACGCTGTCTTTCCCGATCTTCACCACGCTCACGTTCTCCATCACGATACTTCTCACGATCGCTATCACGTTCGCGCTCCCCTTCCTCGCGTTCCTGTTTCAAATCATTATGTTCTCGCATATCACCATCACGAACTCCTTCACGCTCACGAACTCCTTCACGCTCACGAATTTCCCCTTCACGCTCGCCCTCGCGTGTTTCACGTTCACCATCACGATTACGTTCACCTTCTCGATCACGACGCCTGTCCCGATCCCTGAGAACAGTGAACGGGTTAGTATGACGTGTACCATACGAATTGCGGCCGAATATTTGCTTTTAATAAATTATCCAAAAAAATATGATCAAATCATACTGGATATCACAAAAAAGTTAATCTTGAGAGTCTTAATGAGAAACACGCAAGCAACCAAGCCAACCAACCCTAACGACCGACTAACTAACCAATCGGTCTACCTACCGCCTGACCAAACCACCCATCCACACAAAGAACCATCATTCCATCTAACCCACAAAAAACCCACCCATCCATTTAACGACCAGCCAACTAGCCAGCCAGCCAACTAAGGTAGTTAAGCCAACCATATAACCAACCACAAAGACAAGCAGCATAGAAAAAGAAAAGACCTGGCAAAGATTACCTGTCTCGATCACGGTCTCTATCACCACGTTCTCCACGATCACGATCTCCCCGATCGCGGTCACCACGCTCACGATCACTTCGTTCACGATCACCACGATCACGATCACTTCGTTCACGATCACCACGATCACGTTCACTACGATCCCGTTCTCCACGATCTCTACGCCGATCCCGATCTCTATCTCTGTCCCGATCACGTTCCCTGTCACGACCACCACGGTCACGCTCACGGTCGCGGTCACGTTCACGCCTCTGACGATCACGGAAATCACCAACCCACCACCACCACCCCCACCGCCGCCACCACCACCACCACCACCACGATCTTCACGTTCACGATCCCTATCGAGGGAATGAAACACGTAGATTAGTAAACTACGAACTAAAAGTTTCCATGAGAATGATTCTTTGGGCTTTTGCTTAGTAACATTAGGATCAGATTTGAGATATATTTTTCATTGCCTAATAAAAGAACTCGTGAAAATAACAGGTACAGGGTTAGGATGAGAATGCTAATGCTCGATTCAAGCCGAAGGACTCGTATAGTTTGAAAGAGTTTTCTTAATTGATCCAGGCCAGAATTTGTGCACTGTACGGATGAGTACTACAGGAACCTTCACTTTACTGTTCTTAAGGTTCGTTTGAACAAACGCAGAAATGTTGACACTTGATACAGCGCTAAAATGTCTTGATGAACTGTGGGGTTTTCTATATTTTAACATTTATCTACGTTGAAATCCTAGGCTTAAACTAATCGGGTTTGAACAGCAAAAAACTTTATTCAAAAATTGTTGGGTGATGTTGGATCCGTTTGAAAAAGTCTTTTTTAGAAGTTATAATTAAAGGCTGTTTAATTAGCAATAGGCACTTCAAGATTGACGTTAATGGCAAACCGCAAATAATTTAAAATTCGAAATCTTTAATCAGTTGTTAGCTGGCCGAAATTGGGATAGTTTGTTCATTAAGATTAAAGCAGGAAATGTGAAGAAGTATATAATACTGTGAAAAAACCTACAGGGTTTACTTTCAAAGCGAATTAAAATTTGCGGTTAATCAATAAACGTCAATCTTATGTCTTCTACACTAATGCGGAGCACACTACCATTGTGACCGTTTGAGCACTTTGATAACTCGGGCACTAGCTAGTTGCCGGGCACCAAGTGAAAAGACTATCTACTCACCTTTCAAAGTTCTCTACACGACCTGAATGTCTTACGTTCATCTCAGCTGGGCCATTACGAGTGCCACCAAGACCACCACCTATTATACATACGATTAACAATTGTTTAATTGAAATTATAAACGATTTGATGATATTTGTGGGAACTCATCAGACAAAATAACATCAATAAAATACAACCGAGCGACGTACACACAAAATTACAGCATGTAATTCTGGAGGCCTGTGGCGGGTTGCATAAAAACTAAGGTACAATCAGTTTTGATAAAGGTAGGCCAGACTCGCCACCCAGCAAATGTTGCGAAAAACACATGTCAGGTGATCCCCATCGCATCGACAACACTAGTGAGCTTAATCAAACGACGTTTTTGACAACACAAACGGCATGAGCAACGTGAAAAGACTGGGTCAAGGGTTGTGATTGGTGAAAAACAAAAACTTTACTTCCGGTTAACGTACGTGTTGTCAAAAACGTCACTTGCTTAAGCTCACTATTGAATGGAAAGGGGGGGATGGGCTTTTTGCTTGAGTAGCGAATGCTTGGAATTCGAAATGACTCGAAATGAATTTAGAAAACGACACGAGTCATGCACGTTTTCGTTCAACTCATAACAGGCCTGTCTAGGGTCAGATGCGAAATAGACTATAGCCACCTCTTACTAGAAACACTGAAATAACGATTTCTCATTGAATACTGTAGAAACTTTCCCAGAGCACTGGTAAAGTTGGAAAAATAATCTAAAAGACTACCTAAACGCCGCGGTTTCCAATTCTTCACAGTTCTTCCTCTCTCGACATCAACCACGATACGTCGACCATCAATCTTCTTGCCATCAGCGTGTTTATAAGCAGCTGTAACAATACGAAACAAGTGCGTTTAGTTCGGTAAACCAGGGACGTCAGTAAAGGAAATACATTTATACATTCAGTACATTTATACAACTGATACCGGTGAGGTTGTTAGCCAGGGGATAGGGTGACACTACAAGAAATCCAGCCAAGTCTGGCACAGTTCAACTCTAAACTGTCCCGTGTATCATGTAATGCCATAGTTAATATATAGTAAGAGTTTTAAACCTAAAGCTAGGGAAATTGGTTCTACGTACGTGCCACACATTCAAACCTACCATTATTACCACATTTTCCCCTTACGCTAAGCGTCAAGTTGTGGGTATTTCGCGAATAATTAAAGCAACTTTCCACCTAAACTGCCTAAACACGACCATGCAGCGGACATGCATGCCCGAACGTTGTCAATAGAGACGTTGACGCCGGTCAAGTCGAATTATCAAATTTTAGCTGAGCTTCCAGGTCATATCTTGATTGCTAATGCCCAGCTTGAGCAATTGTGAAAATCATTGAACTTATGTAGCAAGGCCTAAATAACCCACTGAGAGAATACCAAACTGCTGATGTTCACAGCGGGCTGATACGTAAACGTTTCTCCGTATGAAGGATCGCGGGGTCTATCATCATGGGAATTTTTACTCTGGATCTTGTTGACCCCGCCTTAAAGAATTGCCATTTATTAAGACGGACGGCGAGTTTTCTCCAATTTCGTTTTCTTTGAAAGATATAAACACATGCATGCCCACTGGTTGAGACATTTATCGTGGTAATAGCTACTTACATTCATGTCAGTCGTTAAAAACGCTAAACCGTAAATCGAATACGGAGACAGTAGAAGATGTTGGCCCAATCTCACGGGCTGGCACCAGAGGGGACCAGAAATACATTCACACAAAATGTAGAGATTATAATATAAAGAGTAAAGCTTTACCAAGCTGATACTCGGTCTTCAACCATGTTTAAACACTTTAGACGAATATTGAAGAAGCTTTTACTGCATTTCTCGTACATGGGAATGCTGCAAGTCTCTGACAAGTCGCAAAAACCGTTTTAAGGACAACGTTCAAAGAAACGCTAGAATCGTACGAGATTAAGCGTCCCTTCAAGCATTTACGTTTGACGAGACTATTCAAAACATTCCCCGTAGTTGCAGTTGATGATGACGAAAGTTCTTCAGCAAAGAAAGTTGAACATGCCATTGTTACAGCTTGGAATGTGAAGAATATATCTAACTACTCGATTATATATAACTACTCGATGCAAAAATGGATATAAATTTGCGGTTAAAGAGGGAGGACTTATATACATAGGACTTACGAAAAGTCACGTATGTCATTACTGATTAGGATTGCAGCTTAGGTTTCTGGGAATTCTTCAGTATATCAAAGGATCAATTACCAGACGGAAAATCATTAAATCAACGAAGACCAACTCACAAATAGAATTTCATTCTATTTACCATAATCTCGTAAAGAAAACAGATTTTCAGGTCTGGAACTCACATGCAGATCTTATAAGGCACGTATGTTTTACCGCGAATACTTACGAACTGTCAGTTATACTTACAAACGAACCAATTACAAAGATTACCAGGAAATAAACCTCCAAGTTAACCATTGCTTCGTTTCAAATTAGATCAAATCAGGAATTCGCCAAGAAATGCATATGTTTATCTTACACAGAGTTTTTTTAGTCGCAATTGAAATAATTTATAGTTTTCATTCTTGGCTGCGCGGTGGCCAACTTTCTAACTTACTGTAATATAATTTTTAGCATTTGATAACGCACAATTAATAATTGTCTCTGCATGACCAAGTTAGATTAAGTAGATTATAAGCAGCACACTCCCAAAATATATTTTTTGGATGCGGGTTCACGAAAAGCAACCGGGTAAGCCAGAGGCTACGATTAGTGCAAAATAAATCATTTACCTAAGCCACCAATTAGACAAGGTGCAGCAGCCTCATGAATTGACTGCCTTCTCTATTATCTCATTATGCAGGTCTCGTTTTCAGGAATAAAGAATACAGAATTGTTGATAGAAAATGATGTTTTAGGTTCAATACGCAAAAGTACAGGACGAAGGTACAACGGTCGCGCAAAAATTACGTATAATGTTTGATGAAGCAGAATATATAAAACTAACGGTAATTTTTTTAAATATTGTTTTCAAAAGTTTTAATTCTTTTTAACTGGTATTATTTTTCTGTGACCACCGTTTTCTTTCAAACCGCTGAAAAAACCGTTTTTGCTACTTCTTGTTAGAACAATCTGTTCAAAAGCTTATTTATAATTCATTGCATGCATGCTTGACTCCAAATATTTTTAGCCTGTGTTTTTTTCAAGTTCGAAAAGGATTTGTTAAATTTTATCGAAACGCTCTTGTTTTGTAAAAAACTAACACTAAGGCCCACAATTTTTTTGCGATTTTCATAAAATAAACGCAATTTTTTAAGTGAAAAATTTTGAATGAAAGAAAATCCGAAATTATTCAAATGGTGTTTGTAGGCAAACGTCATACGAACCTATACCCACCAAAATACCCACCAGTTAAAATGAAAGATTTTTAAAGATCAAGTTGGCCATGGCGTGAACATCTGTTGCCATTGAGTATTGGCTCAACATTCTTAGTATTTGCACTGCAAGGATTTAATAACAGCAGTATTATTCACACGAAATGGTTGCCATGTAAGGCGCCTATAAGATAACCTGATAAGACTGTTCGAAGGGAAACCGGATGCAGACCTTACCAAATACGGAACACAAAACTTACCAAAACACCGAGAACGCAACACGAAGACTTACCATCAAAATGGCCATTTGCGAGTACATATACCTTTAAAATGCGCTTAGTACATTAAGATACATTCGTGTATACAGTACAAAGTGACGCATAATTGAATAGTGTAGCTATTGATACAGAAGTTGATCAGAAATAGTTTCGGCTGTCAGGATCTCGACAGATCGAGCTCTCGAAAAGAGTCACTATACACTTTAACGAAGATGAGATTGATCAAATCCGAAGATGACATCGATCACATCCGAAGATGAGATCGATCACATCCGAAGATGAGATCGATCACATCCGAAGATGAGATTCATCACATCCGAAGATGATATTGATCACATCCGAACTACAACACACCAAGCATTTTCTTAGATGTAGGAATTCATTTGGAAATCCGTATTATTGGAGACAAAATGAGTTCCAGAAGGCAAAAATTTTAACTAAAACAAACGTGCCGATCTTATAGGCCTAGTAATATGCCACCGTCAACAGTTTATATTGGTCATTTTATGAAATCTATGTAGCTAACGTTAGATACATTATACCTTTAACGTATATGTACTTACAGTGCATATCTCGTTCGTGTTCAAATTCAACAAATGCGTAACCACGTGGTTTTCCTGTCGATGTATTGGTCACCATTTGGATCTAAGAATAATTACATATGAAATGAAACAATGGAAGTAACAGGGGAGGGCCTAGCTCTCCATCTGAACGACTTTTCAGCAAGGCGGGATTGATCAGCGTTCCATCACGAGCACTATTGAAACCAGGAAAGGTTGATATGCTCACTTTCCTCGCAGAAAATTTATAAAAAAAACGTTGTAAATATCTATTAGTCTACGAAATCTTTATACCAGTAAATGAATTATAAATTTTGATCTTGGAACCTTTCTGTGTTATAGTTATACGACGTTCTAATTCGTCAAAATTAAAATCGTCTCAATTCAGATAAAAAAAAAACGGTTTTCCGGTTTTTTCTTAACGGTTTTCGGTTTTGGTTTTTTCCGAGAACCGCCCCAGCCTAGGGGAGGCCAAAATTTTATATACAGGATTGCAAAAAAAAAATTGCCACTTGGAAAATTGTTGTAGTTAATACAGTTGCCAGAGATGGACGGCAGTTATCCATACAGTTGCAGAGATGTGAGCAATTTTCTAATGCCCTAACAATTGCTGAATGCAGAGCTCAATCAGCCTTTCTCACGATGACGAATATACCGCCATTTTTGGGGTAGGACATTTTAAAATCAAGAGCGTAAGACCTCGTAACGGCGACTATCTTTATTTTTGGGCTGAATTTATTCTTCAAATGGTCTGCTGATTGTAAAAACATTGCTGTTCATCTTGTTATAATTTTTTAAACCTACATATTTGAGAGAATTGAAAGTACCCCAAAACGTCATCGTAAGAAACGCTAATTCAGAGACTTCACAGGCCTAGACAGCAGAACATAGCCAGGTTGCTCGGCATCGTAGCAAATACAAAATAATGGTGGATATATCTTACAGATTTCACAGGGCCATAGATTTCCATCTCTCTTCGTAACTTGCTTTCAGATGTATCGTAGTTCTGAAAGAATAGTTCTCACATTTAGCAACATTGTTTCATGAAAGATACAGTAGTACCACAGAATACTATTATTTTCAAACATAACAAGGGAAAAATAAACAGGAATTAGGACATAGAGCACAATGATTTACAAAATAACCATTACGTACGTTTTATATTTCTTCATTAAGGCTATGTGCACATGAGGGCCATTTTCTAGCGTTTTCAGAATAGTTTTTGTTTATTTTATTGTTTTGATGCTCTGTCCACACAACCCAAGGAAAAATACATGCTCAATATGTAAATTAGCTTGAACTTCTATTTAACAAATAGATTACAATGAACCGTTGTCTGTTCAGTTATAGATACACGGTATGACGTCATATGTGATAAGAACAAAAAAAGTGGCCACGAGCCGCCGGGGCGAGTGGTCACTCTTTTGTTCTTATGACATATGGCGTCATACCGTGTATCTATAACTGAACAAACAACGGTTCATTGTAATCGATTTGTTTTATATAATAAAACTGAAAAAAATCCAAAATTAATTGAATTATTTGTTTGCAATTTAAAAACAAGAAAATTGCTGTGACGTCATTCCGTGCGTCTGTCCTCTTATAGATCATGGCTCTCGACCAATGAAATTGCTTGAATTCTTTACGTTATTATATAATGTAAATTGACCATGTTTGAAAACGTTACCATGATGTGCACATAGTCTAAATTTCGTTCTTATAGATACAGTAGTATCTTATAGATACAGCACATGAGTGTACTTACTAATCGACCAATAAACAAGGTTTTAAAGGCATCGGTTACAGCATTAGGATCTGTATGTGGATCCCCTAAAAAAATAAAACATGCTCCATTGGTTATTGTCAGTGTATGTTTAGGGGCCTGCATATTTTCCAAATTTCCAGCACACACAGCAATCACAAAGCACCCCTTCCCCCCCCCCAAAATTGCTCTGTTTCATCCCTGTGGTGATTAAGTTTACATGCTGTTATTGACAAAATCTTTGATTGGAGGAACTTCATAATAGCAAAATAGAGTTTTATTCAATGTCCACACTTTATGCTGCCATATATGTTGACTAAGATGCACTACATATTATGGTACTGTACATATGCTCTGCCTTCTACCATATTGCCTTTATTAATTTTAAAAGTTTATTTAAATATCTATTTCAAATATGCTAGATATATCCTAAGCCACTAACAGATTATTACATACAAGGGAGAGGTCACAATCATCATTTGCCAATCAAAACTCAAAATTGATTGTAATGAAGGAAATTATGTCTATGTAAGATGTAATACTTACAATCTTCCAAAGCTTGTTCCAGTTGAAGCTTGTTCTTTTCATTTCTCTCTTTTTTCTATTTGGTTTCGAAAACACAGAATGAATTCTTTCATTTTATACAAAATACAAATTTTCGGCTCTAAAATTTTTGTCAAAATGTACAGGGGATCAAAGTGAACATTGGGATAACAATATTATGATTTATGAACATCAATTTTTGCAAAATGATAGTAAAATAAGGTGATCAGCTAAGTTAACAGTTGATATGTCTGGTCATTGGCAAATAAACAATCAGAAATCTAAATCAAAAAAGTTTTTTTATATATTAAATTGACAACAGACATCTTATTCATATGATGCACTTACTTTTCGTTCAGATTTTTCTATTCTATTTTCTGCTCTGGTTGGAGCTGGTGTTTCACTTGGATCCTAAGGTTAAAAATGAAAATGATTTGATTAATTATGGTGAAGATACCAAAAGCAGAAACCTAACTACACACATCAAAAGTCAAAATATTCTAAAATTTTAATAGAAATTTTTTTACAACTTTTTTAAGATGACATGGAAATATAGAAGTCAGATTCAAAATATATTTCCCAAATAGTAATTTTACTTTCAACAGATAATAAAATCTTTTGGAAAGAATATTGCATTTCTGTTAGCTCATTTGTACAATTTCTATTACGCACTTCCTTTGAAGGATTGCAAACTGGGTTTGCTACCCTTGCTCTCTGCGATCCTTTTAATACTACACAACATAGACGTTTTGCTAGGCAAGGGTATGGCTATAATCTCTTTCATAGAAGTAGAAACCTACTTTTTCTTCTATATTAGAAATCCAATTTTTGCTAAAAATATGGCCTTAATCAACCTGATAGAGGTTTATTCATATCTGCAGTTACTCTACATGTTTACTGAAAGAGCTAACTTAATTATTTTTAGAATAATTTATGCAATGTGCCCTTATGGCCTGAACTCAATCAACTCAAAAGCTTTACTTTTGATAGAAGTCATAGAACAAGTCTTTGAGTCCGAATACCCGACTCATTGAAGCAAAGTAGTTCTCAAAACAGACAACAATTGATAATTGGTCATTATTTGAGAAATAATAAATGAAATTCCAGCTGTCCAGAAACTGGCAATGAACACAATGTACCTCAAACATCCCAAGATGGTTGGACACTCCGATGTACGGCCATGGTTTCTTCTGATGGCCAAGTTTATCAAGCGGTGGCAAATATGGTATAGGTTCTCTTGCAGCGAATAACGCTAAAAGATTGGACGGCAAAAACGCTGTCATTTTGCGGTAAAATCGCAAACAAAAACGTTCAAAGTCTTTCCACCACGAGATTGAGATAATGAGAGAAGAAATGACTTGTGGGAAATATTGAGTATGTTTCCACATTCGAAGTGCCAAATTCAATTTCGATATTTATCTATATTTATTTCGATATTAAAACCTATGGTAAAACCACCACCACACCACACCGCAAAAATTGGTGTTTATGAAGTTTTAATCCGAAAATCTAATCACTGGTTCACAATTGTGCATTTCGTTATTGCTGTCAAAGAAAAACGTTTGAATAACTTTAAAAAGTTTAATTTTCTTCTGAATACGCATTCTGATTCTGCAATCTTTTGACAGCTCTTCATATACGGCATCTGACTGCTGAGAAATGGTCATTTCAGGCTTAAACTTAAAGTATGCACCACAACTGTCGACTGTGGATGTAAAAATGCAGGCGATTCATTTTTGCCGTGTGCAGGGCATATTTTGTTGATGAGTATTTGTAAATCTTTTGAAGTAAGTCCGTCTTTGATCCGCCCTTGATTGGATTTTGGACACACTTGAATCCAAGGGCGTAGGAAGCATCCAGAGGTTGGAGGGGCACCAGCTTCTAAGGGCACTTTTGGTTAATAAAAATGACGGTTAAAATGGTTAATAAAAATATATATATATGGACGGCTTGATTCAGGGACCGCCGACAGCAGAACATTTTTCGTATTTCTTGGGCTCCGTACTGCTAGGGGGGTCCGGGGGCATGCTTCCCCGAGAAAATTTTGAGATATAGGCCTCTGAAATGGCCACAAATCCCTCTCAATTTAAGGATTATTGGGAAATAGTAGATACTTTTTTCTTTCTTTTCGTTTCCCAAAAAGGCATTTTTTTCACAAAAAGGGCACTTTTGGTCCCTTGAAAAATCTTGGGGGGGCACGTGCCCCCAGTGCCCCCCCCCTTCCTACGCCACTGCTTGAATCCCCGTTATAGACGGGTCAAATAGACCGGTTTAACCCGTGTAAAGAGATGAAGCGGACCATCAATAAAATAGCTATGGGGAGGATAATGATTTATAATATATTTTAAGAGTATCACAATATGCGTGTAGCTATGTGATATAGCTGCAGGCTGCTGTGAATATTATATGAATATGGATTTTAGTGGGGTTATGTATGAGGCTTGACTTGGGCTTCGGGGTGGGCACAACCTCGCAAGCCAGGTTTCTCTACTTACGCTCAACGGAAAAGCCTGGCCTGCGAGGTTGGGGTGAGCACTCCACCTCTAAAAATTTAATATGCGAGCTATTCAAAAATCCTCGTAAAAATAATTTTGCACATGTTTCGTGTCGACGAAATTGGTGTCGACGTCCAGTTTACAACATTAAGTCAGTTTGGAAATTGACCAATCATCAGCCTCCTACTTTCCTTTGTCGAAGACTCGAAAAAGGTCAATGAAGAAGAAAGCGTGGCAAATTTGTTTATGTCGATTTCTGAAACAAAACAGTGATTAATTTAGTGTTTGTAAATTGTTTTTGCAATGTCTGGTGTTGCGACGGTAGCTGAGAAGGAGAAACCATCGACCAAGGAAGAATCGTTGGAAACAACTCCGTTTGAATATCAATGGCCTCAGGATAAAGCTGGAGAATTTTTCCTACTAGAAAAGCATGTTTGTGAATATTTGAATATGGATAGTCTGTTACAGAAATACCCTGAGATACAGCATCATCAGGTGTCAAAAGAGGAGAGGAAGTATCTTTTTGAGCAGAAAGCCATAACAGAAACAGAATATCAAAAGGAAGACCAAAAGGTATTGTACACTATATTTACACTAATAATGTTTTATATCATATATGAGTGCATGGTAAGAATATTTTCTTAAGAAGAATGATTAGAATCACCCTTTCAATGAGGCAAATCAGAGTTGCTCAAACTGAGATTGCAAATCAAAAATTGTATGCTGATTTGTATTCTAAATGTTCTAGCATGTCTATACTATGTCTATCACCTTTGTTCTGCTGTTCCAAAAATATGGAAAAATACACTAAACAGCAAGGTATTCTATAGTTAAGCCCCACGTTTAATGGACCATTCCATCTTTTAACAAATTAAAATGTTCTTTCCATAACATGAATGCATGATAACATTCATTATATATTGTTTTTCATATAAATTGTTTTTCATGAATATAAATACCAAAGACAAAAAAAGTCTAATGTTAATTTTGTAAGAATAATTGGTTTGTAAGAATACCCAAGTCTTAAGTAAAGAAAGATAACTGTACTATAAAATCTATTTGCCAGCCATTTTTCTGGCTTGGGTAGGGCATAAAATATTTAACATCATATTATAATGAAGACAACCAGTATTGAAGTCACTGTATATAATTCTCTTCACAGTTAGTGGCCCTAAATACTGATGATGTGAGACAGGTGATGATTGATCATTTCCCCACATTCTATCAAAAATACATAACAACTTTGCATAAAAAAGAAAGGCAACAAGCAATCAGCAAGGCGAAGAAGAACAGTAAGATGATGTCTATACGGCAGACCAATGCTCTAAAGAAGGCCATGAAAGATTCATCAGAGTATAACTCTATCCTACTGCAACAACGTAAAGAAGAACGAGCATCCTACTACGACATGCAAACCCAACTCATTCATATCCCTGCCCGGAAGAATAGAAAATTGCCATCACATATGACAGTTCCAAGCAAGTATCCTGTAGCTCTGCTTCCTGGTCAATATCAAGATTACTATTATCCATATACTTCAAGTGAACTAAATCAATTTCCTCTCGGTTCAATTGTCTCCTTCCCTCTTCCTCCACAACCAGAGGTAAACATTTATCATATAATATGTACATCTTTTATAGCAGTTTATTTTCCAAATAACTAACAATTTCTCGAAGTCTTGGGTAAGGCAGGCATAACTGTACACTAGCTAGTAGTTCAGCTTTCTTGTAATCTCTTTTTTTTCGTTATTTAAATCAGTACTGAGAGCAATGGTCTTGGATATAGAGGAGCAAATTAGAATTTGAAAGGACAATATTTTAAATCAGTTAAATATTTAACACCATATGTGTGAATTGTTGAAGCTGATATGTTCTTTTTGTCCTTCAAAACAATTCAGGCCCACTGTGATCTGTCTTGGGTAAGGGTGAATTCAAATATGGGATTGCAATCTGTCTGAAAACAATTTTCTTAGCCACATTCTGAAATCACTCTAGAGGATTCATAATGGTAATGATGAGGTTAACAATGCATTGAGGCTTTTAGGCTATAAACAAAAAAAAATCAACCATATCAGTTCCTTCAGGCATGTTCAATCTTTCTCATTTCCTTTTGATAGTGCAGCAATCAGTTGTTTTTTTTCGTAAGAACAACTGAATATGAGTTGATGAAAATTTTACTTTTTTAATAAAGGTAGTAAAAGTGCCAGAGGCATTTCAGATGCTGGAAAATGTGACCAATGATCCTGAGCCAACATCACCTCTGGTCACCATGGGGAAACGAGAAGACGTCTATGACGAACCCCCTCCTAAGAGAACATACAGAAAACAGCCGAGCGGGAAAAAAGACCCCGTGTGTGGCATTTGCTTGTCTGGTCCAGAGATGAATAAGAAAGGTAAATTTTGTGCATTCACAATACTTGATGTGAATGAACCTCTTGTGTGTTGAACAACTTTTTGATATTTGCAAGGGAAGGAGCGGCGCAAAGTTAGTAAAATTTTCGTCGCGAAATTGTTGAAACGTTTCTCAGAAAAGAGTTGCCGTTTTGGTCACATAAAAATATCATACAGGACTATATATAGCTACTATTTTTTACATTTGGCAGCATTTCGGTTACAAAGAACATCTTAGAATAAGTAAAAACCTGCCAAGCTTGTTTCGCGGAATTTTGTGCGGAAATATGGCCGTGCAAAGTACCATTCTGTACCAACGTGGTTATTTTCTACTTCGCATGATTCTCATATATATAATATTGAAGATTCCACTGAAATTTTGATAAAGGCATAAAAAACAAGATCCAAAACAGTTTGAAGGAACATCTTAGAGTTTAACAGCAATAATTGGATTCAAAAATCAAAATTGAAAAGTAGCTCTGTAAAGTTTCTACTCATTTTTATTAGGCACGTCCACATTTTTGCGTTGAAAGCTTTTAAGGTGTAAAACGAGCATGTACAAAATTTGTAAGATCTACGAAGCAATATTCCATGATTTTGCGAACCAAAATTTGGCTCTCTTCAGAAATTGTATTGGATTTTGTTCGGCTTCCCTAAATAAAAAAATAATGTATAGCAGGAGTCGGTTGTATCAAGCCCGTTTAGCTTAAACGGTGGATAAGTCAAAATTAAATAACACTCTTACATCTCTCTTGAATGCATGAGTCAACTTGAATATTATGCACTGAGTATGTAGTTGTAAACAGTATCTTTGTATTAAGGTTAAAAACATTTAGTTAGCTTCTTGAATAAAACGATGGACTTGCTTTCTATTTTGAGCTTATCCACCGTTTACGCTAAACGGGCTTGATACAACCGGCCCCTGGGATTGTCCATCCTGGAAACCGTTTTCTTTTACCTATGACAATCGTTGCTACAGTAAAGAAAACCAGCAAATGTCTTTTAGTAATACTAAAACCCTGGTATATATTTTCACAGGCATGCCAGAAAGCCTAATCCATTGTTCAGAATGCGAAAACAGTGGCCATCCATCTTGTCTTGATATGAGCGCTCAGTTGGTAAGAATCATCAAGACTTATTCTTGGCAGTGTATGGAATGTAAGAGGTGTACCCTGTGCAATGATCCTCACGATGAAGACAAGATGCTGTTCTGTGATGAATGTGATCGGGGATACCATAGCTTCTGTGTCGGTCTAACCCAGATTCCGATTGGCCGATGGATCTGCGATAAATGTGGAATGTGCGCTTCGTGCTTGAAGAGAGTGCCTGGACCCGAAGGTAGCGCCGCCAAGTGGAAACACGAGTTCACAATCCCAGGCGATGGGCAAGAGCCGCAGTTTCTGCAAACGCTGTGCATATCGTGTTCAAGGTTGTTTCGAAATGGCAACTTCTGTCCCATTTGCCTCAAAGTATATCGTAACGATGAGACGGATCTGCCCATGGTATGCTGTGATATGTGTGACAGATGGACGCATACTGATTGTGAGGGTATCAATGAGAAAACATACAAGGAATTGTCCAAATCAAAATCCAAGTATAAATGCGCGCTTTGTCGCGGTGAGAAGGAAGAGAGAATCAAAGGATTTCACAAAAAGTTTTCACAGTATAAAACCATGTAACCGATTGTATTTGTTGCCGTGGTAATCACAAGTTTTTTAGTTTTCGCACTCTTTGTCTTAGGGTACGTAGGTCTAGCATAGATGGAAAGGAGGCAGTCTGTATGTAAAATATAAATGTACTCTCTATCGTTCTTATTTATTGGCGTCATGTCGTCGTGTTGTCCAATTTTAAAATGACCGTAATTATGGTATTATTACTCGGGCTACCTTAGTTAGAGCGAGTTGAAAAGTGGGATCGGTTTTCCTTTTGCGTCGCGAGTTTACGAAAATCACACGTGGGCAGCACGAAGTCTTCCAACGAATCGAAATCGTCCTAGGTCTGTTTCTCGCGCGGGTGTCACGAACATAGCATGTTATCACAGTTTAAGGATATACAGTTGCGTAACTCGCAGAAATTCTTGTCCCGCATAATTATGCGCACGCGCGAAGCAAAAGACCGTGTCATGATTTCTTTTAGTATAGGGGAAGGTAGGAAAATAGTCAATTTTTGTAGTAAAACAACAATTTTGGCGAATATACCCTATAGATTTGCTACATTGAGCGTTTGGAATTGAGGGACAGGCCGGACAGCAACATCAAAGGGTTCCGCCGCGAGTTATACAACTGTAAATCCTCAAACTGTCACGTTACTACGAGATAACCGGTAGCACTGTGATGCAGCCCGAGTGAAGGCGTCTTGTTGCAATAGAATTGCAGGTCGCTAAAAAAATTTTTGCAATTTTTTTTGCTATTTTTTAAAAAAATTGCATCGTGTAACCTTCAAGATCAGTTTTTTATCGTCAGTGTCAATGATACCTCCTTACATGAAGTATTCAGTGTCCTTCCGGGCAAATAGCGGACTTTTAGCGGTACCAACCAATACTGGTGATGTTTTCTCGTTTTGGTTTAATTTGTAGTTCTAAAGCAATATGAACGTTGTAAACTTTCAAAAATGATCGAAGTTGAGTGGAGGCAATCTTGAGAGACATGACATGGACGAAAAATCAAGGAGGAAATCAAGGAAAAGAAGAACTCGAAGAAAAGCCACGAGGAGTAAAAATGCGCCAGGGAACAGTACTGGAGGAGACCAATATTCTATCCATGGTGAGTGCATTTTATATTTTCAATATTTTTGGGTCGCAAAATATTCGCGTTTTATAAAGTATCGACTGAATACGCTGATTTCAATTTGAAATTTTATACATGCTTTTAACACTAAACAGTTTCCCCATGAAACAATTTACTCTTTCCCCAGTTTCCTGTACACCAGACAGGGCTATTAAATGTTCTCCAAAGGTAGTATGTGGGATAAACTACTACAGTAGGGGCAATTAACCTTAATTGACCGAAGTTGTATTATGATGTTTTTTTAATGTCCCTAATATATAAATTATACTCCCAAAAAGTACTGCAATCAAATTTGGGAAGGGCATATTTTTAGGCAGTCAACTTTCTGGTGTAATAGCAGAGGCATTTGCATCTATATTTGAAAGTTAACTATTAACACTCCATTATTCGGTGGCCAGGGTAGTGGCATACAGGGGCATGATGTAATTTCATATGTGTTGAACATTGATCAATGTGAATGTTCTGACTTGTTCGTCTCTACTGCGGATACCTTATGTTATTTACTCCAACCTAAGTTGGGCCAAAGAGATTGTGGCTAAACAAATATGCACTTACCAACCTGGTTGGAAAAATGCTTGCAAAATTTTAAAAATTGCTAAATTAGAAATTCATGAAACTATTCATTGGTAATACACTACTGTATTAATTATGGCTAAAATAATCTGAAATTAGAGAGAATATAACTGTTTAGGCTGCAGTGAATATATGATATGCTATAACATGTGGGGGTGGGGTGAGTATTCATTTAATTTGTTCTGCCTGACAGATCTCTTTCGTATGCGTATGCGTTTTCTGACTGATAAACCAAACATTTAAAATAACACTATTCGCAAGTTCTATTTCAGCCATAATAATGGTTTTAAATGTAAAACTAAGAGATTTAATACTTCTCACATATTTTACTTTGTTTTAATAAATTAATTTTTATGTCTTGGTATTATTGAATGATAACTTATACAAGGTTTATATTGAAAATAAAGGTAATCTAGGCATAAAGAATTTTGATTACTATTTACACCTATAGTACTAGTGATGTTTGAGTTAACAAAATGTAAATTAGATTCCATCATTGTGATAGAGGTTGGTTGATGGTTAAATTTTATGTGACTTTGTGGATCTTTGGTTGATCATTGATTACTGTTTTGAGGGATTGTTACTGGTTGTATACTGGAAAACCTCTATGGAGGCTGTTTTGCTGATTTTATTCCAAATTTTAACCATTTGAAATGAATAGCAAACCAAAGGCTTGATTGGTGCAAATGATATCACGAGGGGTCTTAAGAAACAAAAGGGGTAATGCGCAGGACGCGGAAAACCTGGGGACGAGGATGAGGGGGTACGTGTTGTATGTAATTGGTAAAAATTTTGGGTATTAGTCACCGATCAAAAACCGATTTTAAGTTGCGAGATAGCTATCTTTGATGAAAGTGGCCTGTCTCTTACTAAAAGAATATGGATCATACAAGTAAAGCGGTATGAAATTCCATTGAGAAATTCAGAGGTGTACTGCATATTGCTTCATGAACGATTTTACAAACATTTTTTGAAAAGGTCATGCAAGATTTTACAAACATTTTTGCGTTTTTGCTTAAAATGCATTATCGAATTAATAAAAATATCAGGTGTGTGGTAAAGTTAATAACAAAGGTAACAGTTTTCAATTATAAGTACATATTCAGACAAAAAAGTGTTTCTCTTGAATTTTCGGCGTCCAAAGCCGTCAACTTTTGATTGAAGACTCCCAGCTGGACGCCCTGACGCCTTTCTGCATAAAAGCGTTGTTAATGTTATAATTTCAGACTGCCAAACAGAGTTCAACAAACATATAAAGCTTTTTAAATATAAATGATGCGACTCGGTCCCAAAAGGGCGACTGGACCATTTGGATGAGATGTGATCTTATGCAGATGATATCCGGGTTCCTTGCAAAGGCACGAAAATGCCTTCATATCGCCATCTGCCGAATAAATCAGCACGAAATATCCATATTTCTCAGAACGCATGTTTGTTAGGACAATAATTTTGCCTGTAACGTAGTGAAATGCCGCCCCCACAATGCGGTGATGTTTTGGTACAATAATCGTTGACATCAGATCTCCTTCTTGTGAGTAGAATTGAAAAGCTTTCCTTCGGTTTGCCCTAATCAATATTTCATTCTTCTCGGTTACGTTGAGGAACGTCAGAGCACGTGAGCATCGTTTAAACTTGTGCTTCAGCAGTCCAGTGTCGTCAAAGACGTAAATATTAGGATCACCAAGTTTGATAAGGATTATGTCATTGCTTTGGTTTATCGCGATCATTATGCGTTTACAAGATGTGTAAGCCTCAAGCGAGTCCAGGACGGACTCGCATTTTACATTTTGTTTATCATCTATGATATACAACATGTAACTCAGGAACTCTTCGTCACTGTCTTCCATCAGCATCTTTGCATGGGTGACAATGTAAATGTTGTTATTCTTGTCAACATTCAACCCCTCTATACATTGCGAGATCAGCCTACCTTTCGTAGGCTCACGGATTTTTACTATTTTTTTTTCTTCTGTTTTGGATATAATCTCTACGCCATCTTGAGAAGGTGTGACAATCTCGCCAGCACCATTTACAACGGTAGATTCCCAAAGTATTATTTCATCCAGAACCACTGGGTTGATGGAGTGCTGACTTAATATCTCGCCCATAGATTTCCGCATAGAAATTTCATTCCATTGTAATATAGGGTAAAAACTGCGAGAAAGTTCAGGAAGATTGATTGTTGGCCAGGTGCAGGCGGAACAATACTTACTGCTGAATTTGGAAGCGTATTGATACAGAACAAAGTTGATCAACATCACGGCTTTCACATTTTCCACGCGTCTTGCTTTATTCAACCACGATATAACGACTCGGCTATGAATGTACACCGAGAACATCTCTTGAATTGCGGGTAGACCATGCAGCTTTTTCAAAAACGATACACATCCGGTTACAGCGGACTGCGGACATCGGATATTCTCAAGAATTTCCGAAACTATTCGTACTTTTGCCACAAAGATTTTATCCTCGATGGTTAAGCCTTCGCTGAAGAAAGCATCGTGCGCTTTCTCACGCGCGTTTTTGAATCGTTCCATTGCTTTCGCGAAATTGTCGCTTGAGTCGAGTTGGAGAATTTCTACGACGTCCAGGAGCATTAATGCTTTATTCAATATCTTTTCATCCGCACCGCTTGACGTTCCAGGTACTTCAGCGATATCATCTAGACTGTCGTGTTCTACGGTGTTCTGCTGCGGTTTTATTTCATCGAGGGAGGCTTTAAAAAAATCTATACCTTCCAATAGGTAACCGTAGCTGCGGTTCAAGTCATTTCGTAAAATTCCATCAAGTTTCATTTTGATATCATTCAGCTCTCGCGCAAGCAACCCACGAATAGTCTCATCTGTAACGTCGGAGTGTCTTAATTTCCTCGTTAATTTCGCTGCTGTCAAATCCAGTCCTTTGTTCCACAATAAACCAACTGTTTTGCCAAGAAAACCTGTTATGATAGAAGACATTCTAAATAGCGTTACCGAACAACACCGGCACACAGACACATGCAAAATAGATACTTGATGAAACACAATTCAATTGTTCATCGAAGAACATGCAATGACTAACGATTTATGTAGTTTAATCACAACAGCATTTGCGAATCATATCCGGTTGCGAGTACCCTGAACCGTATGACGTGAATGCATGAGTGTATTTTTCCTGCATCTCAAGTGCATCCATCATATATTTATTGTATGGTTTGATCTTTGTAATTAACGCCAAAACGCTCAAGCACTCTGCGAGTAGCTCATTAATCCGTATAAGATTATATCGCTCACGCATTGCTTGATAATATTTCGATAGTTATGTTTGTCTTTATATGACTCAGCTACGTGAATTCCTATTTCGATTGCGCTTATCTGAGTAACTAACCGCGGCTGGAAAAACTGAAAAATTAGCTTGACCGCGCGGTGGAATTCGAACCAACGACCTTTTAGTTATAACTTAGCTGCCATGCAGGTCACGAATGCACACCAAGTAATTATAACTTCAAATTCAGAACGTAAGTAATGTAATGCGATGGGATGTGATGTGATAAGATGGGATGGGATGGGATGGGATGGGATGGGATGGGATGGGATGGGATGGGATGGGATGGGATGGGATGGGATGGGATGGGATGGGATGGGATGGGATGGGATGGGATGGGATGGGATGGGATGGGGTGGGATGGCATGGGATGGCATGGGATGGCATGGGATGGGATGGGATGGCATGGGGTGTGATGTGGTGTGGTGTGATGTGATGTGGTCGGATGAGAAGGGGTGGGATGGCATGGGATGAAATGGGATGGGATGGGATGGGATGGGATGGGATGGGATGGGATGGATGGGATGGGATGGGATGGGATGGGATGGGATGGGATGGGATGGGATGGGATGGGATGGGATGGGATGGATGGGATGGGATGGGATGGGATGGGATGGGATGGGATGGGATGGGATGGGATGGGATGGGATGGGATGGGGTGTGGTGTGATGTGATGTGGTAGAGTGGGGTGGCAAGGGATAGAATTGGATGGGATAGGATGGACTGTGGTGTGGTGTGACGTGACGTGCTGACGTGACTGACTTGATCTGACGTGACGGACCTTTAGATCCGAGACCACCTTCTGAATAAATCAGAAAGAAGGAGAAATCTTTTGCCTCGAAATAGTTTAAAACTTTATTTTGCATGCAGCATAGTGAAATGCGACACCCGGAAGCTTATGACCATAGATTTCCTCCTTGTGAGTATATGTTAACAAGTGTGAACTGTTGTTATATTGCTATATATGCAGAACTATATATCGTTACCCCTCTAATATTAGTAATTTAAAATATTATTTTAGACATTTCTTTGAACGAATTCGCAAATGCCCCAAATGAAGGTGATCTCAAGAAAATTTCAAAGAAAATGATTTCGTCAGCAGGTATATAAGCCGGGATCAACTGTTTATTTCCCTTCATTTTTTTTACCCTAACTACACTACGGCGGCATATTAAATACCATATGTTTTTAGTATGTTCAAGAACAATGATCCTATGATCAAACCATGAAAATGATCTTGCATTAGATTTTTATAATGCAAGTCTTTAATTCTAATATTAATACTTTTCAATAGACCTTTCCCCTTTTAGCTTTTAAGCGCGCAATGCGTGACGGTAGTTGATTATCAAGCAACTTTGAGTTGCGATATCGCTCTGCTATGAAGCGATTTTGTTTGTAAGAAACTTTCTTTTTGATTTTTGTTAAACTAAATCGCTCCTGAACATGGCGAAATCACAACTCAAATTGACCTTGATAATCAACTACCGTCACGCATTGCGCGCTTGAAAACAAAAAGGGGAAAGTTCTATTCGGCACCCCATGAAATCCGGTCAACGCGAAAAATCACATTTCATTTTTAAGGAATTTTTTCACTTTACTTTTAAGGATCCTTCGCCCTACTTCGTCATCCAGAAAAAATTAAAAAAGCGGAGGAAATGGCCGAGATGGATACGGTATCTGACGATGAATCTCCATGGTATGATCGGACAAACATCGGGGAAACCGACGACGAAGAGAACGAAAGTCAGGAAAGTTGCGATGATATCGAATATCTAGAAGCCAAAACTGTTAAAAATGTTGAAAATATTTCGGCAGGACATGAGATTCTTGCACAGCCTGGGAGGCAATACCCGCTGGATTTATGGTGTATTCTTGCAAATTATATCACACCAGAGCAAGTACAAGTTTTTTCTTGCATATGCCGTGGATCTTACTTTGCGCTAAGCTCCTTCAGTTTCTGGTTACGTCTTTACAAGCGATTTATCTCAGACAGCGAGTGTTTACCTGCTCGATTGAAATCGGACTGGATTGAAAGCAGAAATGGCTTTAAAAGCCGAGTTGTACGAGCCTTGTTTATCGGGTACAAAAGTCTTCATGATCGTTTAGGGAAAAAAACACTGGAAACAACACGTGATACCCATGCAACGTCACATCTTATCGGATTACGCTGTAGTCATGTGTGGTACAAGTTGACGACATCAGCTAAAAACACTGACATATTTCTATTTTATTTCAAATTTAAATGCAATGATGTTTACAAATCAAAAATCTTAAGCACAGACGACGAAAGAGTTCAATATCTGACTGCCAATAACGAACGTGATTTTATAGTCCTTCAAATAACCGTATCAAACTTTATTCTTTTGAAGCCAGTTTTAGGAGAGAACCTGACAGATATCTCGGTAAATTTGAGTCGAAACTTAAGGTTTCATTGTATAAAAATGACATTTCATGATTTCCGGCATGATGGCAGGTATAGAAAAGGTGACGGAAAAGTGATTGTTCTTGATCCTGTTTCAGAATTTCGCTTACTGCGTTGGTGGTATCCACTGTACCCTCATTGTGATGATTGAATAAATAACATGGCCATTGTAGGCATTTCCGGCCGGCATTTACGTGTAAATTTTGTCATATACCTCTTCCATAAAAATGTAGTAGAACTTTTCATTTTCCGAATATTGCACGGACGCGGACATTGTTTTACCAGCCACTGTAGCGACCCCATCTTCAACAACTTCCACCATTCAAGATGAAACACTGGTTCGAAAAACAAGATCTTGCCGAAATGTCCATTTTCGTGCGCGTTATGTCTCCATCGTTTATTGTTAATCTTCATTAACTTCTGCACTAGCAGGGGGCTACTGTAGTGCGTAGTCGCGTTAATATTTCGCGCAAATTATGTGGTTTCTGGTAGGCGCGCAAAGAAATGTCTGAAACTTACGAACACTATTTTTATATATAATACTTTTACGCTAATCTTAATTGCATGTTTTTCCGCCTCACCTTTACTAGCTAGAGTATAAAATGACTTGTAAATTGTTGTCAGTCGGACAGTCTTACTTAGCACTCTCAAGAGCACATCTCTTCAAAGTGTTATCGACGAATTTCCATGTAAAATAAAAGTGTATCAAAGTCATATTAGCGTCTAGCGTATTTCACAGCTACAACTCGACTCAGCCCCCTGTCCAGTAAATACGGCACGCCCTAAAAATGCAATTATACGGATTTTCCGCTAGGAAAATGTTGTTCACGGAGTCTGTCACTCAACTCCATTGTGAGGTTTTAGGAAAGAGTTACAACTTACAAAAATTGTGATATATCTACCGCCTATATTCTAATTGTAATTAGCCGATTAGTGGTCACATGTTTGTTCGATCCTTAAAACGTATTGCGTAAGAACAAAATGCCACCGAAACTTAAAAAAATAGAAAATTTTTCTTGTACCTGTTCTCTCTGTTTCATTTCTTATTGCTATACAACGATGTATTTATAATGTAATATCCCTTCGGAAATGTTAAATTTTGTTGCCCCCTAAGTCGTAAGTCGATGTCTCCATCGACTTGGCCTTGGTGAAACAAAATTTGTTATTTTACCAAGCGAGTAAATAACTCCTTCTCACATGAGTATTTTTCATAGTTTTATATTTACATAAGGCGGTGAGACTTAGACGGATGAGGTAAGCCACTGTATATAGGAGTAAAAGAAAGGAGTGTCAGTTTACTAAGAAATATATACATCCTAGTTTATAAAATTTTCCTTGTTCTTACCGCCCACATCAGCTAGTGTTATACTAGGGCACCTGCAAAGTAGGCATTGCTGTAAACATTATTTTAACAATTATTCGCCGAAGACGAAGTGAATAAAATCCGAGACGAAGTTGAGGTTTTTATTTAGCGAAACTCACCGATGCTGAGGTGAATAATTGTTTTAGTATAATTACAAATTTATCGAGAAAGTGAATCTGTTGTATAAAATGCATGTTTTACAAACGTAAACAAATATCTGGACAGTTTTACGGCGATTCAAATAAAACAATGTTTTTGCAAAATAAAGTTGAAAAGCGTTCTACAAAGTAGTATTTTGTCTTGAAAATAATTTTTTCATTCCTCTTCAGGTTCAGCATTTCTGATAAAGTAACGTATTTCTTCATCTGTCACTTTGGCAAAAACAACTCCTTTGAAAAACCGCTTAGATGATTATTGCGTAATAATCCGAGGTCGTTGGACCAATCAGAGGCCAGAATTTTTTATAATTGCATTGTAATAATACAAAAGCAAATAAACTGCTACATAAACGTATGACAAGACATGTTACAATTATGGTATTCTTGTCATACGCCATGTAGTTTGATTTGCTTCTAGGAATTTATTGCTGCTAACACGAAGAGAATGTTCAGCATGATGCTTTACATTGTGCATGTTTCCAATAGGCTTATGCATTCGTTCAAAAGATCTTTTACAAGACGAGAAGAAACGACAAGCAATGTGAACAAGGAGAATTAACAGAGTGATATACTAATTTTCTTTCTTTGCGGGTTTAAAATTTAATTACGATGTGGGTAAGATGGGTGCCACCAACGTAACAGTTTTATGGCGCTAACTGCATTAAGAACCACATTCTCTCGATTGTTTTCCACATTCCAATCTACATCTGAACAACCAAACTCCATTGTTAAAAGTGCATTATCCGTATCTACTGATACTTCTAGTAGCACGGTATTTGCTTTGAAATGAACACGTGTAAATTCTCGAACTCTCACTTGTAGCACAACATAATTCTCTTCATTATTACGAGTTAAATAATCTTGATTGATGGCGGGAAGGTTAGGCGCAGACACTTTCTTGCCATCGCTTTTAAGTTGAAATCGAAACAGGTAAACGTGTGAACTGCCCAATGAGCTTTCAATTTTGTACCAAGTGTTGCAACAACGTAATCCAATTACCTGTTGCAACAATAGTTTGTCAATGTCCAACGAATCCTCTTTCATCAATCGACTGCTAAGATTTGGGTGTAAGAGGAAAAGGGCTCGTATCACAAATATTTTAAGTCCGATGTGCTTTGCTCCAAAATTTTGCATTAAACATTTTGGTAAACGTACGGTGTCCTTGATATAACGTTTATAAAGATGATTCCAAAATGTCGATGAATTTATAGCCAGGTAGGATGAACGACATATGCACGCATATGTTTGAATTTGTAAGGGTTCGATGTATTTAGCCAGTATACACCATACGTCTAGTGGGTAATATATCTTGGATCTCTCCATAACTCCCTCGTGGGAAATCTCAGAATCTTCATGCTCATCAACTTTTTCACTGCCTTTGGAGGGGCAAGGTAAAAGTCGCTTACCGCAGGTAAAATTGTTTTCATCCATCTTTAAAACAAAGGAAAATACTTTAATTTCACGGCTAAATATGAGATATCAATTACTTCTACATTGCGGCTAATATTTTCGTCCATCTAAAATACTGAAAACTCATTTAATGCTGAGTCGACTTTCATCAGTTTCGTTTTCAAATTTGCCTGATAAGTAGCACGATGTGCTGTCTGTGCGGATACCTTACGCTATTACTAGCGTTTACTAAAATTAAAAAAATTTAAAAGATGCGAAACTTAATTCACATACCATGCATGCAGATCCCCACATTGTTTCGCAATTGTATCCAGAAAAACGTCCGATCTATTTGTGGAATCCATCTTCAATTTGACTTCAGGCGCTTTCCTTTAACGAAAATGGTCAGAGTGGTCATATTTTGAAATGAAGTATTTCGCTAAGAATATAGTAGCAGTGAAACAGCATTTCACTGGGCAGTTAGGAATTAGAGATGATGGACAAGATGTTAAGGTGACAGCCGTAATAGAGTATTTCTATGCGTTTGCAGCCAACAATGAATGATTTACATACAACAAGATGCCTGTTCTGGCGTTAACTCCGGCGTGCCGCGCACGTGCCTGTCTTCAATATAAAGTCTCTGAACATAAACAATACAGTTAATACCCATTTAGATGCCTTGCGAACCTAAATGTTGCTCGATCGCAACATTCAGAAGCACATAGTACTTTAAAAAGTGTAGAAGTTCAATTGTTTAAAAAAAGTAAATAAACCGCAAGATAAGGCGTTCACTTTGTCTTACATTTTGGAATTTGCGCTTATTAAATCTTCAATCCTGTGCAAATTGCGACGTGTCAACGCGCCCATACACGACCACATCGAAATAGCAGCGATATTAATAAAATAGGACCAGAATCTACATGTATTAAATATATTCTTACCCCAATTAAATCTTAACGTAATCGAACAGCATCAAAAGAACGGTTTATTTTTTCCTTTTGGAGGAATTTCCGAATATCATGCGAGAGAAATCAAATCGCGCATCAGTAAATTAGTCAGAGATTTCGAGTTGCGCACCACAACTCTTGGGAGACAAAAATGTGACGTAGATAAATACGGTCACATATACTTTTCAAATACTAGTATATTTCGCGCCAAAACACACTTGCGACGACGAAAACAACACAAACAAAACCTGGGCGAATTTTCAACTCTGTCGCTTAGGCTGGAGTAATAATTTGTATGTAAATATATTCCAGATGTTGACGGTGCAGCAACTGACTTTGACCTTGTTTATATATATCATATCACGTTGACCTTGATTATATTATGTAGTATCATACGATAAATATATTGTGAAATTTTTTCATATTTCATGAGCTCAGCAATTCTCAGAGTTAGAATCGAATCGTGAACTGTTTTATTAACTGAAGCTAATAAAAAATCGTAATTAAGATTTAGCAACCAAGTTATACGAACTCTCCATGCAAGTTATATAGAATGCACATTACTCGATACTTAGTATATTCTCGATTTATTCTTATGATATTTGCTTAATAAGACAGACAATAATAATTCAAACCGTCTACTTCTAGTGCAGTGTTCATGAAGTGTTAGAGAACAGAAATATTTCATACATGCACATGGATATGCCATATTTATTTAAATCTTATTATCGGATTTACCGAGTGGAGCAGTTCAAACGAACAGACATATATGCATGTGAGTTCTTACATAAACAAACTGATATTGCCTAACATAGCATAGCAATAACTAAAAGCATAAACATGGCTTAACATACATTACTGCATGTAAAAAACATTGTGTGTCATAAGATGGGCCGGTAATGAATGCTGAATTATGAGACGCAGCGAAGTTCAGAAAAACTCATAATCGAAAGATATTATTTATTATTTTATGTTTATCAGTGTTTACTTGATATTTACATGCAATTGCAAACGTTTCAGGCGTTTGATGCGATCGAGCTGAAATGAGGCGTGTATTGCAGGAAATAACGATTTTTACCTTACCAGAACTGTTTATGGAGGATCCCATGTAACTAAAACCACAGAATTTGATACTTCGAAATCTTTCCGCGTGAAGTACTGTACGGTGCAGTTCTCATGGCGAAATATACCTCGAGAAATACGGCTGCTGTTATGAGCACAGAAATTTATATTTATATATGTAAATGTGTACTGCATGACATTTACAAATCAAGTTGTGACAATCGTGATAGAATATGCAGTAGCTTTGAACTGCGCTGTGAATAGTTCCGTCTATATTTGTATGCAGTAGGTATATAATTTTATAGGTACATGAACATATATCAGGGCAGCATAATTAATTTCCCGTAGCGAATAGCTTATTTCTAGCAAAATAATCTTATTCTCCGAAATCGCCCGAAGGTAGGTAGCAAAGGTAGGAGGTAGGAAAATAATAGACTAGCAACGTCGAGCTGACCGCATGGTAGATCGCAAAGCCCACCGCACATGCACGTGCATGAGCTATTAGCTAAGCTAAAGACCACGCGTGGTTGTTAGCTCAGCAAGTTACTTTCGTGTGCGGATAGTTTTTTGTGAAGAATTCGACTCGAGAGGCAAGTTTCTCACGTGTGCGGATGGTTTTCGGCCGAGCTAACTGCCCTGCGAGGTCGTTAACTCAGCTGATATCTCTCGTGTGCGGTGGGCTTAACTGATTCCCTAAAAATATGCATGCATATTTAAATTGCTTTAAATTGCGTGAGAACTGATTGTTGTACCGACGCCGGCCATTCTTTATTGTTTTGTCCGCACGATAGTTATTACGTTAACCGTGCCGACATAAACAGTAAAAAAAGATTGACTGGTCCTTCTTTTCGACTGCAAAGATGGCAACCGAGTTATCGCACCAGTTCATTTACAGTTAGCGAATTTATTTGAGACTGGACGTTATACATGTCGGATGTTACAGCCAAACTTATCAGCTTTTTGCAGCCTAATCCCAGGCCTTGTAAGTTCCCGCTGTAAATTATGCGGGGCAGCCCACGTTAAGAGGCACAAAATGTTGAGATTTCAAAAATTTTCCCTGATTTTGTCCATGCAAACAGCCTAGTTATTAGGCCTCTTATATACGTTCCTTAGTACACGCGGTGAGACGGGAACTGAGAGGCCTCGTGAATTTTCTTGCTAGTACCATTACATTTACGACAGGTTTTGAAGTACAAAACGACACCCAGGACGTAGCCCAGCTTCTGTGTTCTCATAACTGACTGGGCTTAGAAAAGTTTAAACTTGTTGTAAACTGATTGCAGTTGAAAGAAATCGTTGCGATACCGTTTACCGATTACTGGAACAAGGCAGAACTATAGAAAATACTTATTCTTCTGTCAAACGGTACGAAAGTTGTAGTCTAGTTGAAATCCATAACATACTCTATGATTTCCGTAAGATCCCCGGTTATACGTTTTCATCAACCATCCGCGGGAAATTTTAACCCTGAATTTTACATAATTTTTGTATTAATTCGTAGTAAGAAAGTCATGCCACCTGCATGTGATATTATCTTTGTAATCGTCGCGGGTCGACGTTTTTCATCTTCACAACTTGATAGTTTTCTTAAAGATTTTAAGATAGAAAGATGGAGAGTGATAAATCCATCGATTGCATAAACTTGACACCGTGATGAAAATTACGCTAACGGAAAATACTGTTATATAATAACTATAGTGAAACACGCAATGTGATTGGTCAATAGCCGTGCAGGATCAGACAATCCTGCACGCGTTTTAGACAATCCTGCACGCAAAATTTAATTTTAATAAAGTTAACCGTTGTTTCACTACAGTTATTTTATAAAACAATTACCAAATGGTTTTCCGTGCAGGATTGCGTGATCCATGCACTTGGGATGTTGCTCGACTTTCGGAAAGCGTGAAAATACACTCGCCTACGGCTCGTGTATTTTCACGCTTTCCGAAAGTCTCGCAACATCCCGCGTGCATGGATCACGCAATCCTGCACGGAAAATCATTTGGTATTCCTTTATTCATATTCTATTTAGTATACTGATAGAAAGGCATCTTCGACGTTGTATTTGAAATATTATATTTTATGAAAGTGGTTAAATCACAAACTCTGATTGGCTTGTTTAGAATTCCAAACTACCGCTAACTTATTAAATAAATTTGACCGTTGTCTCGTTGTGGTTATTTTATAAAGCATATACTAAATGGTTTTCCCTGCAGGATAGCGTGATACTGAACTTGGGATATTGCTCGACTTTCGGAGAGGGTAAAAACAGCTTTCCAAAAGTCTTGCAATATCCCGCGCGCAGTATATCACGCCATCCTGCACGGAAAACAATTTAGTATTCCTTTATTACTTCCTACCTGCTCCAAAGCAATTAAATTTTCCTTTGTTGCGCTATATACCAGTGTAAACAGTACAAAACATCAAAGGTAACAGTACAAACACCACTTATGGCGGGAGATTGCCAATCTGAGATTGGAATTCTTAACAAGCCAATCAGAGTTTGTGATTTAACAACTTTCAAAAATTATAATATTTCAAATACAATGACGAACTGCCGTTCCATCAGAATAGGAATATGAATAGTATTAAGGCCCACGCAGACCATAGGCAGCCCAGAAATCTGTTTATGCTCAGTCTTCGACTGCATTGTTTACGCGCGCGGTCAGCTTCTACTGTCTGCACTAATTACTGTATTATATCTTATATATTAATATAAAAACAGACCAAGGCCAAATTTAACCCCTATTTCTACTAAGCGCCCAAATAAAGAAATTCCAGTGCTCATAAGACAACGTAGCCTGTGCACAGACCTATATCCGGAAAGATGTCTTTATCTTTCCGGATATAGGTCTGTGCACAGGCTAAAGACAACGAAGCAAACTAACTATAATCGTGGATGTTCTCGAAGATCACCAATTTTCCGCCAATTAAGATTTATAAAACGTACTCCAATTGCTTACGGAAATGAAGTTCCGATATCAACATACTTCGTCCCATCCATCTTACTCTTAAACGTGATGTCGTTGACCCCCAAAATTGACGAAGTAGCTATGTAAATTTCGAGTTATTATAATTGTTCATGTCTTTAGAAATCTATTGTTTTCACAGTCAGTGAACCCGAAAATATTAGCATAGCGGGACAAATCGACAGGCTGGCTACGCTACTGGTAGCATGTGTCGTGAAGCAAAATCAATGTGATGAGAAGGATACCAATTGCTAAGAAGGGACCGTAAACAAAGAGATCACAGAGGCGTTTATCTGTCTCTATATAAAAATAATATTAAATGTAAACTCCTAGGTGATCTCTACCATGACGATCATGAAGTGTTATGGGTAATGTTTCGAGGATAATTATTTTGTTGGCAAAATTCGCAGATATTTCTCCACTTCCAAAAGCTCAAAATATCAAAGACTTTAACAAAGACCTAAAAGCGATATCTTTGACGTCAACTTTATCCAAAATTGCTGCAGATTTTGTTATCCAACATGAATAAAAACCCTAATCTTTTAAATATTATTGATCCTAAACAATTTGGATTTATTCCGGAATCATGCACAAAATTTGCCCTAATTTCAATGCTCCACAAATAGTTGTCCGCTACTGATGGAACAGGCTGATTAGAGTGATTTTGTTAGATTATAAAAAGGCTTTTGATATGGTTGATCATAACCTTCTGGTTGCCAAACTGTATGACTATGGTATAAAACCAGCAATTATAAATTGGAATGTGGATTTTTTACGGAATCGGTTTCAAAGAGTGAGAATTGACTCGGATTGTTACTCAAATTTTTAGCGCGTTCCAGCAGGTGTCCCTCAAGGAACAAAACTTGGGCCCTGGCTCTTTCTTGCCATGATTAACGACTTCCTACTTTCCGGCGAGCCCTCAGAAGATATGTGGAAATATGAAGAGTGACACCAAAATTTCCGAAGTCATTCCTAAACACAGCAATAGCGCACTGCAGCCAGCTGTTGATAAAATTGGTAATTGGTCTGAACAGAATAAATTAAATCTACACCCCGAAAAATGAAAAGAGATGAGGATTCAATTTGCCAAGCACGAAGGTATGTTTGATCCAATTACGATGAATGGACGACATATTGAAATTGTAAAATCAACGAAAGTTCTAGAATTAATCCTAACAGATGATCTTAAATGGACAAAACACATACAAACGGTGGTTGCTAAAACTTCAAAACGACTTTATCTTTTAAAACAACTGCGACGAGCTGATGTGGAAGAAAAATATTTAATTCAATTCTAAAATGCATGTGTTCGATCATTACTAGAATATGCCTGTGAAGTCTCCAATTATTCGAATCTTCCTACATATCTATCTGATGATCTGGAATGAGTACAACGACGTGCAATGAGGATTATTTTCCCTGGTATGAAGTACAAAGAGGCCTTGCAAAGGGGACATCTAGAGTCACTCTATGATAGACGAGAATACTTATGTAAACAGATTTTTGATCAAATAGAACAAAATCAGAATCATAAATTGAATAATTATTTTACCAAGTGTAAAATCGGGTGTTTATAATAATCTTCGAACTATCAGAAAGTATGAACTCCCTCTAATTAAGACAGATCGTTTTCACTTTACTAATTTCTAGTAAATTTCTAGTGGTTAATTTCTCGTAAATTTCTAGTAATTTCTAGTTATTCCTATTCAAGCAATGAAAGTGAAATTTTAAAAAAGTACAATTTAGATTGTGTAAGTTTTAATGACCCTTATTCGAAATGAAATGTACATATACTGCATTTGAAATATATAATTATTTAGTTAGCGAAATATCCTGTAAAATCAGCTATAATTCAGTCTTACTCACTGCAATATTTGATTTATTAAACTACGAGATTTGAACTCGGATCCTTGGATTAAAAGTCCAAAATGCTGACAATTACACCACAGAACCAAAATGAGATTGCTTAGCATTAATGTTAATGCTTAGCATTGAACATTACAAAAAAACGCAATGTGTAATTCTGTGGTGTAATGGTTAGCACTTTGGACTCGGAATCCAACAATCCGAGTTCAAATCTCGGCAGGACCAACTTTAACTCTAATCACTCTTCACGGAAAAAGTTCTAAGCATTGCACGTGTCGTTGAATCAAGGCACTTCTTAAAATGATTAGTCGAAGATTTATAGCATTGAAGATAATTCGTACATCATTTTTTTTTAGTGTTCTGACTCCCGTA